CATTGAGACGGTCTCGTTGGGCATCTGGATGCGTGATTGTAGTGCACGCTCCGCCCGTTCGCGGCGGTCGGGACTCCTGTAGGTCTCCAGAAGGCGACGCTGGAACTCGCGCCAAGATGTCAGAACATCATCCCTGTTCAAAAACCACGTTCTGGCACCGTCCTTTAGACGAGTGCACATGTTCCGGAGCTTCGCGGCATCATCCCAGTAATTGATCGCTGCGACACGTTCCAACTCACTCAGCCAGTCGTCAACATCTTCATGCTGCTCTCTGTGAAAGGGGCTAGGCCAGAGCGGGTTCTGGACGGTGCAGTAGATCGGCGTGGAAGGTGTCGGAGCTTGCACGGGATCTTGTGTCGAAGTCATAGTTGCTGTGTCAGTGGTTGGTGTCTCAGGCGGTAGGCCTCGTTGGCGGCGGCTTACTCTGTGAACAGGAGTGTCCACAGGTGCAGGGCTTGTGTTCCGGCTGCTGGGCAGGGTCTTGGGCATCGGGTGGACCGTGAGACGTTGTACCTAGCAACTCCACCAGTCTTGTCACGTTTCTCACGACAAACTTGATACAATGAGCTCGTTGAGTCGACTAGCCAAGCAGCAGCTCAGATAGATCGTCTTCGTCCTTTTTCACTCATCGATCTCACCCAAGCAAACCATGTGGCAATATCTTTAGCACATTCAAAAAAACGTGTACACAAAAAAATGGGAATGGGAAATAGACTTAAGCGTACATTTTGGGGTCATATTACGGGGACAGGCCGCCATTGGAACCTGAACTTGGCAACGTTTAACGCTAGAACCTTATCTAGTGAGGGAAGTCTAGCTGTACTATTCGAGGAGCTAGAGGGTGTTAAATGGGATATAATAGGGCTCAGTGAGGTTAGGAGGACAGATGAGGCCTATACGGTGCTACAGAATGGGCACGTCCTTTGCTACAGGGGCTTGGCAGACAGAAGAGAACTGGGAGTGGGGTTCCTAATTCACAGAAACATAGCTGGCAACATTGAGGAATACTATAGCATTAATGAAAGGGTGGTAGGTATCGTAATTAAACTGAATAAAAGATACAACATGAAGGTAGTACAGGCTTACGCGCCTACATCCAGCCATGATGACGCTTCAGTTGATAGCTTCTATGAAGACGTGGAATCAACAATGAGTAAGGTAAAAACACAGTATACTATAGTGATGGGCGACTTTAATGCAAAAGTAGGGAAGAAGCAGGCTGGAGACCAGGCGGTAGGAGATTATGGCATCGGTACTAAAAAACGCCAGAGGAGAGCTACTAGTAGAATTCGCAGAACGCAATAATTTACGGATTTTTGACTACCTTCTACCAAAAACGAGAAAACCACAAGGGGACATGGAGGAGCCCTAATGGCGAAAATAAGAACGAAATAGACTTTATAATGAGTGCACACCCTGGAATCGTGCAGGATGTGGAAGTGATTGGCAAGGTACGGTCTCGAATTCGCCTAGACTTGAAGAAGGAACGACAGAAACTGATACGCAAGAAGCCAATCAATCAGCTAGCACTGAGAGGGAAAGTACAGGAATTCAGAGTGTCGCTGCAGAACAGGTACTCGGCTCTTAGTGAGGAAACCAACTTTAGCGTAGATACAATGAATGATAATCTGACGAGTATCATTACGGAGTGTGCAGTGGAAGTTGGAGGCAGGGTAGTTAGACAGGACACTGGCAAGCTTTCCCGCGAAACGAAGAACCTAATTAAGAAGCGTCAAATCATGAAAGTGTCAAGTACAATAGACAAAATAGAACTGGCAGAGCTTTCGAAGTTGATTAATAGACGTAAGGTATGCAATGTAAGAAGGTATAACATGGAGAGAATTGAACACGCTCTGAAAAACGGAGGAAGTGTCAAAGCATTGAAGAGGAAACTTGGGATAGGCAAAAGTCAGATGTATGCTCTAAGGGACAAAGAAGGCAAAATAACTACCAATATGGATAGGATAGTTAAAATAGCGGAGGAGTTTTACAGAGATCTGTACAGTAGCCGAGACAACCACGACCTTAATACTATAAGAACTAGCAGTAACCCAGATTACACCCCACCAGTAATGATAGAAGAAGTCAGAAAAGCTTTGGAGAGCATGCAAAGGGGCAAAGCTGCTGATGAGGATCAGGTAACATCAGATCCGCTGAAAGATGGAGGACAGATTGTGTTAGAAAAACTAGCCACCCTGTTTACTAGGTGTCTCCTGACGGGAAGAGTACCAGAGTCTTGGAAGAACGCGAACATCATCTTAATACATAAGAAAGGAGATGACAAGGACTTGAAGAATTACAGGCCGATCAGCTTGCTCTCTGTAGTATACAAGCTATTTACAAAGGTAATTGCCAACAGAGTAAAGAAAACATTAGAATTTAATCAACCAAAGGAACAAGCAGGGTTTAGAACAGGCTACTCAACAATTGACCACATTCATACTATCAATCAGGTAACAGAGAAATGCTCAGAGTATAACCAACCACTATACATAGCCTTCATAGATTACGAGAAGGCGTTTGATTCAGTAGAAATATCAGCCGTCATGCAAACACTGCGGAATCAGGGCGTAGATGAAGTATATACAAACATTCTGGAAGAAATCTACAGGGGATCAACTGCTACCATAGTGCTTCATAAAGAAAGCAACAGAATACCAATTAAGACGGGTGTAAGGCAGGGGGACACGATTTCCCCAATGCTATTTACCGCGTGCTTACAGGAGGTTTTCAGAAGCCTAGAATGGGAACAGTTAGGGATAAGAGTCAATGGAGAATACCTTAGTAACCTGCGCTTCGCCGATGACATTGCATTGCTGAGTAACTCGGGGGACGAATTGCAACTCATGATTACGGAGTTAGACAAGGAGAGCAGAAGGGTGGGTCTTAAAATTAATCTGCAGAAAACGAAAGTAATGTACAACAACCTCGGCAAGGAGCAGCGCTTCGAGATAGGTAATAGTGCACTTGAAGTTGTAAAAGACTATGTCTACTTAGGGCAGGTAATAAACGCAGAGCCGAACCATGAGATTGAAGTAACTAGAAGAATAAGAATGGGGTGGAGCACATTCGGCAAGCACTCTCAAATTATGACAGGTAGATTGCCACTATCCCTCAAGAGGAAGGTATACAACAGCTGTATCTTGCCGGTACTTAGCTACGGAGCAGAAACCTGGAGACTTACAAAGAGGGTTCAGCTTAAATTGAGGACGACGCAGCGAGCAATGGAAAGAAAAATGGTAGTGAACCTTAAGAGACAAGAAGAGAGCAGAGTGGATTAGGGAACAAACGGGGGTTAAGGATATCATAGCTGAAATCAAGAAGAAGAAATGGACATGGGCAGGGCATGTAGCGCGTAGACAGGATAACCGCTGGTCATTAAGGGTAACTGACTGGATTCCCAGAGAAGGGAAGCGGGTTAGGGGGAGACAGAAGGTTAGGTGGGCAGACGAGATTAAGAAGTTTGCGGGTATAAATTGGCAGCAGCAAGCACAGGACCGGGTTAACTGGCGGAACATGGGAGAGGCCTTTGTCCTGCAGTGGACGTAGTCAGGCTGATGATGATGATGATGACAGGCACATATATATTTTTAGATGCAAAGCAGCTTAGGGTCGAGCTCAATTAGGAACGCGGCGTTACTACTCTTACCATGCATGCAGGTCCACTCCATCTTCTTTAGGCATACCTCCCTGTGGCGCTTACACCACCATCGCACATGCACTCCCCCTCCTCTCTTACACTTGCCCCTCACTTGCCTCGCGCAACGCCGATGCAGGCAGCATCTCATAGTCTATGCTCGCTCCCCTTCTCTCTCCTCTAGGCATCCTTCCCTGTGGCGTTCACACCCCTATTGAGCATGCGGATCCCCTTCTCTCTCTCCTTTCTTCTTCTACGCTGCCCCTCTCTCACCTTGCAACGCCGACACAGGCAGCGTCTGCTAGCGAGTTTCTTGATTGAAAAACCGACTGCTTGCGCTGCACAACTATTCACTGGCCACCCCGTATGTATAAGCACTGAATCTTGGCCTCCAAGGTAGTGCCGTGGGGGATTCCTTCTGTACGTTGTTGATTTGATTGATATGTGGGGTTTAACGTCCCAAAACCACTATATGATTATGAGAGACACCGTAGTAGAGTGCTCCAGAAATTTCGACCACCTGGGGCTGTTTAACCTGCACCCAGATCTGAGCACACGGGTCTACAACATTTCCGCCTCCATCGGAAATGCAGCCGCCGCAGCCGGGATCCGAACCCGCGCCCTGCGGGTCGGCAGCCTAGTACCTTAGCCACTAGACCACTGCGGCGGGGCTTCTGTATGTTGAACAACAACAAAAAAAAATGCAGCATGCGCATTTCGGTCTGTGTGTCCAATTGGAGTATTCTGTATCTTAGTAGTGATTGGCATATTCCAGTAAGAAACACCGGTCTATTACTGCATGTTTTGCACCTCCCCAGATTTCTGCGCTGCGCAATACCGTGACAAGTACCAGTGTCAACGTCGTTGCCAGTGTAAGCGTTAGAGCCCGCTGCTTCACATGCACATTAGTACCATTTAGGCGGGAGATGGTGTAATTTTTTAGAACTAAACAGTGCGTTTGCGAGTGTGCAGTGACCCAATATATTACGGGCACCACGTTTACTTGGGAAAACGTGTGTGCTGAAAAGATGATGCTGTCCAAGAACTGGAACAAAAAAAAAAACATTCTCGCAAATTGAACAATAGCTGTATTTACCTACCACTTCCTGCAATTGTACGAGTCTCATGATAAATAAAGCATCATCAGCTTCTGTAGCTTTCACAGTGCAGTAAAAAAAATTGTCACCGAGTATAGGTTACGATTCTGGAGTATCAGGTGCCAAAAATGCGATTCAATTATTACACATGCTATTATTAATCTACCAACCCCTTCTACTTCAGTGAGTTCAGTGAAGCTAGCACCATTATGGCTATAGCGGCAAGGAGAGTCCTATGTCTTACCAGAAGGAAACACGCTGGTCAGTTTTCATTTATGCTGTTAACTTGAAAAATTCTTTATTCACATTCAGCCTCCAATACACGACATATCAACTATAGACAAAGACCTTTGTATAATTCCCTTCCCTTGTATTGATGTCTTAGTGCACACAAACAGAAGCCCAAGTTGCTTTCTGCTGACATGGACAGTGCGTAGCAGCTTGGTTAGATTAAAAAAAAAAAAAAGTCAATTGAAAGTTGATCACAAGACAAACCATATGCAAGTAAATGGTAAAAGAAAGCATAACAGTCAGTTTCGGCTACAACCACTGTCAATTAATACTAGTACTACAAACAAAAATTAGCGTTCAGGGGCATAAACCCGCTAGAAGTGTTAGTTGTCATACTATATGTGGCACAAATAGAATATGTTCACGTAACAGCAGAAATGCGTGCCAAAATCATGAATCATAAGCACAGTGTGTACACCTATAAACCCAGTTTCTACACTATAACTGCCACTGTCGACACTATAGCGTACAGACATCAAAAGCTTAGGCAGCTTCCAACTGTGCCATCTTATACCAAGGGACAAATGCGCCTTGTGTAATAATGTGAGCTGGATTTTATGAGAATACAAAAATATTTCCCAGCTTGAAATCCTCAAAAGACATAGATGTGACCAGAAGAGTTGTCCGACTGCATATACAAAAATATTAATAAGCTTAGCAAAAGAGACTGCCTGTGTGGTGCCTTTGACGAGTTTCTACATGGAAACTCGGGACTTCAGGTATTGAGTGGTATGGCTTGTTTCAAACTTCACTGTGTGCCTTTAATTCTAACAAAATCTAACTATGGTTTTGTGTGCGGTTCCATCAAGTGTGCATTGCTATCTAAATGGCTGTGGTGATTTAAACCTTACAGATTAGCACATCTTGTATCAGGCTGAGTGAAACAAAATCGGGCTTCCCGACGCAATAAAATGCAGACGGCAGAATGAAGTCTCTCATCTTTTGAAGGTCACACACACCTATAAGCTCAGCTTGTAAAACTAAAATTATTTAGCACAAAAAGAAGCAAATGTGTTGCTTTGGTTAGGAGTCGAGAACATGATATGATGTGCACTGTTAGTACCTAACCTGCCTACTTGCTACACAGTGCTATTGATCAAACCAATGGGAACAAGTATTCTTTACTATTTTTTAATGCCTGGGAATGATGTAAACGAATCAATGCACTGCAAGGTAATTTAAGAGAGAACTGAAACTAGCCAACTCGCAACCAACACAGAAATACGGTATGAGAGACTGATAGTACAATTTTTGCTGCGGCTGTAGGATACTAAATTTGTTGAGCCTGTCTTCACATGACCGTAATTATTCTACTGCCAACCACTCACTTTCCTCATGTACAGCGACAAGCACCCACTAGGATCCCAAGGACGAGTACTGCCTGACACGGCCAGTGTTTTATAAAAAAATGACTCACCACAAGGTGCTAGGACTGCGCCAACATTGTGATATGTATTTACCCCTCCCACAGCAAATGCTCACCGGCAGACCCTGTTTGCCTTCAGAGTGTTGTATCAGCAAGAAAAAAAAAATTCTCCAAAAGCCTGTTTTCTTTGGCTTAGCAGGCACAACTCTGAAGCGCTAAGGCAAAAACAGTGCCTCACGAAAGCATAAAAATTGTGACACAATTCCAGAAAATACAACAAATAAAAGCGCTCTGGCACACTTGCCCTTAAAAATACTTTCGTGAGAAGGGCTGTTATAGGTGACAATGACATTAAAATCTTGAGAAAAAAGAGAAGGTACTTCATCAAGCAGTACTACACTGCTGTAGATGTTCAAGCAGCTACGATTTGTTAAATTATGGAATCGAGTAAATGCTCTAGTTTTCGTTCTTCCCTATGCACACTAGTGTACAACAGCAAAACATGAAACATTGCATATCAGTTAGTACCTACTTGCTGTCAAAGTAATATAAAGCAACGGCATTAAAGCAACGAACCTTTGCCAATATGTTCCGATTTCGCAATAATGGAAGAGATAGCACAAAGAAAAAAATACACGATAGCCTAAGGTGACATGTGCACAAAAACAGGTACAAACACACATGCACATTTGTACACACATGTAGGAAGCACACATAAACACAGCACTAGTATCAAGAAAAAAAAAACACATCTGTGCAATGCATGGCCAGTATTCAAACATGAGCATAAATTGTGGCACTAATGCACAAATGGAAACTAATACCGTTGTCACATGGGCACTTTTACTAGTGATCAGGGCGATTTGGTTCAGTTTTCTTGATCGCAATCAACTTTATGGTAGCTGCTACATGGCCCAAGCTAATCCGGTCCGAGCTTGGGTCATAATAAATGCACCAGGTAGTACTTTTGTGCCATAAACAAAACTCAGCATAGGATATTTCTATAGAGCCCTTTATCAGCAGTGTTATTGGTGCAAGAACTGCTCGAACATCGAAACTTTGCGTGCCACTACAAAACAATTTCATTAATCTATCATTCGATAAAGCTTTCCCTGCCCTTGCCTGTATTAGTGCGTGATATTATCTCCACTATTTTGTCTGATGGCAACCACTTGAAGCCTTCTACTTGCAGCGAAGTGGCAATCTCATTGTACGCATCAGAGTTTCATTTCTGGCTCCTCAGGTCTCCCAGTCGCTCCTGCCAGCAGTAAATTACTCTAAAGGTCTCTTCATTCGACCACGAAATAGGCGTACACTGTGACGTAGTCGAAAAGCTGGCAACACTCCTAATCAGTTTGTTTCAAGGTGCTCCAACTTCTCCCGACAGTGCAAGAGTCGAACAAGGAGCAGCACACAACGGTTCTCTGCTTATCGTCTGCTTCTCCCATAGCCACATGCCGTCAATACAAATCCTAAAGTATGCAATATTTCAGATATTGTTCCAAATTAAGCAGTTTACAATTTGCTTTTTTTAATAAAATCTAGCTGTTTTAATGTGTTTTTATTAACTACACTCGATTTTCTTGTTATAGTGCTTGGCAAGAAGCTCGGCCAGGGAGCGCACGACGACAGCAAAGTCGCGATCTTCCAGCCAGATCGCGATAGTCTTGATACCGATCAGGCCCGATCGCAATGAAAAGTGACCGTGTAGCAGCACGTAACCCGGATCGTGGTTAATCCGGATTGACACTGATCGGATCAAAAATGCCCATGTGACACCGGTATAAGAACAGCGGGTGTGTTAAAAAAAAAGCGACATGAACGAAAAACAATTGACTGCCACTTCTGTTTCTATCAGCCAACACGGCTGCAAACACAGAAATTAAAAAAATAGACAAAGAACTGTTAATAATGGCTTCATAAAAATGTGCACAAGCACATACAACAGGCAGTGGAACAGACTGCGACACTGACAACATGCACAAGTATAATTGCAACATAGCCAGCAAAGAAGTGCACTAGACACTTAATGTGCGTAACAGGGGCATAAGCATGTGTGCCTTTGCATCAGTTATTTTCTGCACAGTACAGTATAGCAACAGGCCAACTGAATATCCACTTAAAACTTATTATGCACTCCTGCCGCTGCAATAAGTTTGCTGTTCAATGCATGGGGCATAGAGGAAGCGTGCTCGCAGGATAAAGTGGCAGTGCCATCAGCGTGAATGACATTGGAGAGGGTTCTGTAACTCTAAAAATGCATTCACCAACTCTACGTACCTCGAGGCTCTTAATGAGCTTTGCCAAGTAGCTTTCTTGAAGGGACCGATAAACAACCTTTGAGGTACCTGCTTCCTTAACTGCAACAGGAATCTTTTCAGTCAGGGTGTCTAATCCCAGAATGGCCATGTGTTGAAGGATGTGAAATATTTAGAGCTACACTTTTCAATTTGCGGTGACAATGAAGTCATATACACAAAATACAAGCGGCAAACAGACGCAGGTGAGCGCTAAAGCGGTTTGGGCATGGCTGTCTGCTGCGCATGTGTGCACTCTGTGCACTTAAGCCATGGCTCGACATGTTTCTGCAGCCAGTGCGGATTCTCAGCATGTATCTTTTTTTTTTTTTTTACGTGATAGATTGATATGTGTAGTTCGACGCCCCAAAACCACCTGTATGATTATGAGAGACATTGTAGCGGAGAGCTCTGAAACCTTCTACCACCTGGGGTTCTTTAACGTGCACCCAAATCTGAGCACAAGGGCCTACAGCATTTTTGCCTCCATCGAACTTTTTTTTACCTCATAAGGAGCATAGAACAGAGTGGGGATGGACATAATATACATACTCTACAGCCATCATGATGTGCGTTAATTTTCTTAAAGTCAAGTGTAATAGGCGTTTTCTGAAATGTGTGATTCCTGATATCGACCTTGCACGCCATCTAGCAGATTAGTTTCAGTCCACCAAAATGAAATACTTTAATCAAGTGTCCATAGCAAGCGTACTGCTTCAACTTTGAGCACTAATTATGTAATGTATGAAGGTATCAGACTACATACAGTGAAGCGAACAACTTCATAATGCAGCTCCTAGCTTCTTCCACTAGGTTGCGCGACATACCTCTTTTTATTTTTTGCTACTTTTATTACTTGAGATTTAATAGTATAAGTTCAACTTTGCTTGAAAAAAGGATGCCTAGATCTGTCAGTATGATTCAAAGGTTTTCCCATTTTTACTAGGATCTAATCACATGTACTGGCTGGTTGTTGGTTCCTTTAAAAGAGCACTGACACCAAGTTTTGAAGGCGAGATAATGAGTGAGAGAGATTTATGCAGAGACATACAGCAACATCTACGAAATATCAAGGGCCAATGTAGCCTAGAACATATTGAACATCAATTTTATAGTGCTTGGCGCACTACTGAGCGAGATGCGGAGCCCCTCGTGGCGCCGACATCAATGTGGCAGCAGTGTGAACAAACCTACGTCACAATTCTGTGTTGGCTGGTTGTTAGCATGCGCCTTGCACTACTTGCAATTTATTCCTCCGTGCCTGTGGTTTTGCGTGTGCTGCCTGTGCTTGCTGTCAGTGTGGCGTCCTGCTCACTCATGCTTTTGCGTGCGCCGCCATGTCACAGTTGTGCGTGGCCATGTGGCCAGCTATACCTTGCAATTTAAACTGCTCCTGCCTAGCTCAGTGCTTTGTAAAACCGAGACTGCGATTGGGCCCTCTAAAAACACGTCTCAAAATAAATAACTGTCACATACTTGCTGCAAACGAGGTTTCCAGCAGTGACAAGTGGGTCATAAACTACCTATTGCAAGAAAAAAAAAGAGGTGCCAAATTATTATGTCAGTGCTCCTTTAATAGTAGCGCAATTAGGGGCAGTCAAAGCATTTCAGTCACACGCGAAATGATTACCTTAAGAAAGAGTTGCTTAGTTGAAACAGCTCTCGACTCCTGTGCCTGGAGGATTAAAAAATAAAAAAAGAAACATTGCTGCACATTGCATTAGTAGTACCAAGTGTATCTACATTATTATTGTATTGTATGTCTCAAAGACAGCAAACTGACATAAAATGGTGCCTTTTTTCCTAATGGGACAGATGGTACAACAATTCCACAAATTCCCACAAATGTGGTATCTTTCATGTGCTTTTGAGAGCAATGTGCCCCTGGTGCATCTATGTAAAATTCTATGCCATGACGAGTCAGGTACAGCTGAGGACACTCATTCAATCCCAGTGACTGCTACAGCCCAGCACTGGTGTCCCTAACCGGGGAAGCTCAAAGGAAAGGGTTACGGCTAACCACGACTGTCTCACATCACTTCTTTCTCTCAACCAACACACTGAAATCATGTGACAATGTAATTAGACAACTGCAGATTACCATGCAGAGCAGAATCTGTTTCTTCATATAGCAGGGCTACATCACTCTCATTATTTGAGGAAGTGGATGCATTTTTAGAATGACAGAACACTCTATTTCCTCTAATCTCTGTGGTGCATGCAATCTCTAGCTTGTGCGACCATTGCCTTATCCCCCAAGCATGCTCCAGCCATTCCTCACACGCTGCAACTGGTAGTAGCCAGAATCGCACATTGAAGAGAAGCTATGAAGAGGATACTGTGACTGCAGGTATTTTACTCGTTTAAAAAATAAAGAGACTGGTGAAACAAGCATACGCAGACAAGGCTACCTCGTACCTTGTTAAATTATCTGTTGGTGCATGTAAAGCTTGTCAACTCCCGAGGCGAATGCAAGAAAAAACTGTAGGTACACATTTCATGCATGCATACAATTAAGGACAAGGAAACCTGTGGAGTGAACCGTGGTTATGGTTCATAAAGCAAACCAATGTTAAAAAAGATAGGAACAATAACAACATCTCTGCTGATGAACACACTCTAAGCTCCACACTGCAAAGCAGTAATAAGACACTGCAGCATAGCACACGTTTCTGTCCCAGTACCGAATTTCTGCACAAACAAATGGCATGGCAGTACTTTGTTCTTTACAAGGGGCAGTTTCTACAGCAGCTTTAGACCAAATATTATAAAATGGCCAAAAACTAAAAGAGTTATACAATCGTTCACAATCAGCAAATGCAAAGCAGGCACACATTCTTCTGTAGTAGCAGTAATATAAATGGAGAAGTTACCCTTAAAACAAGCCTTTTCTAGTTTCCCCGAGTACTCTGGGTTTTCTCTACTTCTATGTTCTAGTCTTTTTTTCTTCTTTCTTTTTAGTGCAGCTGGCACTTGCAGACTCAGCTAAATGAATAACCCAAAACTAAGCATGCAGAAAGGCTGATGAAAGTGAATGAAGCAATACATTACAAAATATTGTTTAGAACCCAATACAAAAAAATGCTGTAAAAGGCTCAGAATATCTTTGGAGACTGATGGCTTTCAATGTGCTTTCCTGTGTGTGCAAACGAAAGGTGGGTAAAATATGGGGTGAAATGTCCCACTATCACTTGCCACTTAGGGTGACAAGCATGCATTCATTGTGCTGTACTTTGTTAGGACCTGCAGCACATGGCCACTCTTTGGTCAATTAAAAATTTGAAGCAAACTGCCTTCTACGAAAGACAGACGACTCCTGACACCGCAAGTTGGAAAAAAAGAAACTGCAAGTTAAGAACGAGCTAACTTTCAGGAAGCTTAGAAACACCTCTCAAGAGCAATGGCACAGTACAGCATGTGCTTAGCATAAAGCCCTAGCTTTGTGACACACAGAAAAATGACCACACACCCAGGTCACATAAAAGCATTAGCATATACTTCACTTGCTTGCATATTCAGAAAAATTATGTCACCGGTGCACCGTTCGTTTCTAACAAGTGCAATTGGTTGTGGGCTAGTCCACTCATCCACAGCCTCTTATTGCAATCACAGTTTAGCCGGCAAGCATGTTCTTCCAATGAATAATTCCACTAGAATTGGACATTTCATGCACATGTCATATACTTCGCACAGCATTTCAGAACGCTGTACCATACTTTATAACACAGAAAAAAAAAAGAAGTATTGCATTTCATTATTGACTTTTTTATAAAAGACAGAGTGCTAAAATATAATTTGGATGCCACGCAACAAAAAGACAAATAATCAAATAGGAGTTAGTCAAATAGGAGCACACGTGAAAAAAGAAAAAAAAACAAGTTTGTACAGGCAAGGAACAATACTGAAAAAAGTTAAGCCGTCTTATAGCTTATAAATAGAGGGCACTGATTCATGCCTCATCAGCTGCAGCTATCGCTTAGCATTTGGACTGAGATGATCAAAAAATTCCGCGAAAATGGGAGTTGTATGTTCGGCACTCGGCATATGTAGTGCAGCACAAAATTATTTTCCAGTCCTATGCTGTGAAACGAAACGTGGACACCCCACTCAGATTATTTCGAGCTACCTTATCAAAATGCTATAGCATCCAAACAGAATGATGCTGAATTGAGTGCAATTGTGCAAGAGCACTGGTGCGCATTGCTCCATTATTAGACACTAACATGACAGAAACGGCTCAAACACGGAACTACAAAGATAACAAAACTGGTGACAAGGTTCCGAAAGCGTCTTACCACCAAATATACAGATAAATTAGTAAACCTCTCATGTACACATTGTAAATTGTATTCAACTTCATTGTCAATATTCTGTATCACAAAACATAGCTGTTAATCTGAACCTCTACTACGAGTTCTGTCTGTAAAGAAAATGACAGTCTTGCTTAATGGTGTTAGTTGTCTGCCAAAGCCAGATAAACGAAACAAATTAAACGAACTCTCTAGTCATCCGGCCATTTACTTGACCCAGCAACGGCATCACCCATTGAACGGCATCACAAAGTTTGCTTGCCCGGAGTCTGACTTTTTTACTGCTCTCCTAATTACAATTAACAATATTTGAACTTACAATTGAATTTTACCAATTCATTAAATGACTTAAACAAATCGCATTCTTTATTCGACGATTTCTTATTGATTCAATCTTCCGCATTTATTTCAATCACTCTAATAACTAAAAGATACAACTACCAGGGGGGTCAATTTTCTTGTTGATCACAACATTGACCTGGTTGTTTAAATTATAGTAGGCGTTTTACCTACTGCAGAAAAATCAAAGCCACAAGTAAACATCACTTGAAGCAATGCTTGCATTGTCTAGTGTAACATGCTCCTCTCATATTAAGGCAAGATGCTAAGCCTTATTAGTATTGGGCTGCATGCAGCCAATGAAACCAGTCAAGCTTGCAAACGCATAAACTAGTAAATGCACATAATGCAGCTAAAAAAGCCAGGCAGCTTGGAGCATATTACATGACATGCCACCAAAAAAGCTTCGCTAGTCAATCAAGTTATCTTTTCTCCACACTGAAAGAATAGTCAGGCAGGCCTAAAAAATAAACTGTACAAAATGCAAGCTGTTGAGAGAACTAATACAGCTTTAAGCAAAATACATGATTTTTTCGGAGTACCTTGCTGGATAAATTTTTGCAGTAGGTGTAGCCAGACAGTGCCTTCAGTTTAACACAGGTATGCGCAACAGCATAACAAATTTTCACATTATCTCAATGCTGGCAGCTGACATGAATGCATGACAACTTGAACTGTTGTGCCTACAGAAAAGCAAGCCTCTACTAACCACAACGTAAATGAAATGCAAAACCGGCCTTATATCAAAAGAGAAGAAAAAAAAACCCACAATGCAGGAAGGCATACACAACATTTGCCTGCCTTGTGTAAATACAGCAGAGAAAAGAGAGAGGTTTCTTGCTTCATTTCGTGCCTTCGTGGCAGGCACAGTTACTTTCACAAAATAGACCAACAGCATTTAAAACAGGAACATGATTACTGTGGAGTTCTAGAGCTTGGACATTGACTTTGTTCCAAACGGCCTCGAGTCTTCCTACTTGAAAAGCTTCGGACAAATGAGCAAAATTTATATTGGCTAAAGCCGTTGAGATAACAAACAAAACAAAGGAAGGATAGGATGGTTTACCCTGAGAGGACAGCAATTGGTGCTGTCCTGCATAAAGATTACTTAACATTAAAGAACAAGAAGCTAACTTGCAGTTACTATAAAAGAAGATGGCAACAGGTTGAGGCAGTATGGAACAAAGCAATGGCTTTCCGAGGGCAAGTATTGTAAAAAAAAAAAACACGTGCACTTCCCGAGATGTGGTGCTTAGGAAGAACTGAAGCGGAGGATGGAGAGCAGCTGTGTCAGAAGTCCCATCGCCAGCTGCAAAAGCTGCCGCACAACTTTTGATCGGCCCAGCAACACCCTCAGAAAACCAAGCAGCAGGAGCGTCTTTAGGGCTACGTGCACTGCATGTTGCCTGGGATGGAGAACATAAAGAAATACCCCCAACGGTTAAAGGGACCAAGGACAAACTTTGATGGCACCTATTTTTTTTTTTTTTTTTGTGCAATGAAGAGCTCACCGTTTACAGCCTCTAATCACAAAGTGGTAACGTGCCGAACAGCGTGAAACGTTTGTAATCAGAGTTTTTCTATGTGAGGCGAATATCACGTCATACACAGACGCGACATCACATGCTGCAAACAGTGAGTGCAAAGCAAGTTTGTGTTCAAGCACGGTGGTTTACTAAGCATGTGTGCACTCCGCCACACATGTGCTGTGGCTTGACATGATAGCGGCTCTTTGTCGTGCAACTCCTTTTGCCTCATACACGGCACAGAATAGAGCGGTGGTAAATAATAATGCACATACTCTAATTTTGAGGACTAATTATGGTGCACATATCAGCACCCGACTATGTGACAATGTACAGCAACATCACTGACCGCACAATCTAGCTGCAAGGCTCTTCTGCTAGGCTACGCAACATACCACTTCTTGGTTACTTTTAAACATAATTTAAAAACAAATTCTACTCACAATGCAAAAGAATATTGGAATATTGGAAAGTTGTTGGTCCCTTTAGGGGAGGTGCTACTCGAAAAGAAAGTTTCTTTAATCTGAAGCCTGGGGCACAATGAAATCTTTGCTGTATACATAGGCTTTTAGGCTGATTCAAATATTCAATTAGTCTTATAGAAAATTGCATAGGTTTCGCTTTGTACTATGACAATGAGTAAAATGAAGTTCTTTTTTACACACTTTTTCTGCCTTTTAACTTTTATGGTTTTTAGCCTGTAATGGCACATATTGCTCGATATTGATATGGTTGACTAATTGAAATTGAATTCAAACAGTATATTTTTGTTTATTATAAAAAAAGTGAGCATATTTCCCAAGATCAAATTCACTTGCAGAATATTTTTCAACTTGAAACAAGGCATGCGCAAATGTCAGTCTTTTTGGTTCAAAAGAAAGTAGAAGCAGCTTTGAATAGTAGCAGGATTCGACTTTTGGTAAAATGCCAGTGATAACCGGTAAAATATGTTACATTTTACAGGGGTGGAAGTAGGCTTCATTGTTTTCGAACAGCTCAGGGAGCAGGAATAATGCTGTTTTGGAGCAGCTTTCACACAGTAAAAAAGGAGAGTTTTGACGCAAGTTCAGAGCACCAAAAAGTGTGTTTTGAAGAAATGAGAGTTACCGTAATTACTCGAATCTAACGCGCACCTTTTTCTCGGTTAAGCAAGTTCATAAATCGCATGCGCGTTAGAATTGAGTACGAACAAAAAAATTACGGTCAATCTATTGCCATTGGCAAATCCAAAATGGCCGTCCCCTACGTGCGTCGGCCATTTCTGCCTATGCGTTTCCCATGTGCGGCACTTCGTACGTGTGCTGAGGAGTTCGTCATCTTGTAGTGCATTAGCGTCGACGACATGGAAGGGCCGACTCAAAAAACTCGACGGGTGCACCACGATGCCGCTTTTAAAAGAAAAGTGATCACGTGTGCCGAAACGGACGGAAATCGGGTCGCATCGCGGTCGTTCGGAGTTCCCGAAACGTGCATGCGGGACCGGCGGAAACAAAAGCAGAAGATTGTCGACAGCAAAGCTTCACGCAAAGGCTTTAGTGGACCACAGCAGGGTCGGTATCCACAAATTAAAGAGCTGCTCGGCGAGTATGTGCTCGAGCAGCGAGCGGCACAGCGGCCCGTGACGACAGAACTGCTCCAAGTGCGGGCTATGCAGTTAGTCTTAGAAAAAGGTCTAATGCGGAGCCAGTTTATAGCGAGCAGGTGCTGGCTAACTAACTTTATCAAGATGAAAGGCTTTTTCCTCCGAAGGGGAACATGCATATGCGAAACGTTTTGCGGAGGAGTACGACGAAAAGCTTCACAGTTTTCAGAGGTTCGTCCTAAACTTGCGGCGCAACAACGGCTACCTGCTTGGGCAAATCGGGAATGCCGATCAGACGCCTCTTTACTTCGACATGCCTGGCACCACAACCATCGAGAAGAAGGGGGCGAAGCAAGTTCGCGTGCTGACATCGGTCCACGGTAAAACTACAGTGACGGCAATGCTCTGTTACACATCAGATGGGCACAAGCTTCGCCCGTACCTCATATTTAAATGGAAGACGCTCCCGAAAGGAGTCGTTTTTTCGACTGGTGTAATCGAGCGGGCCAGCGAGAAAAATGGGTGCGCATTGCAATCGATGTCTTACGTTTTGTTTTGTTTTTTTCGCGGTGAAAATCGGGTGCGCGTTACAATCGAGGGCGCGGTAGAATCGAGTAAATACGGTAGCTTCGGAGCAGCTTTCTAGGGTCAATCATGATCATCAATAAATATTATTTTCGGTGATAAAAATTCCTATGGTTTTTCACTAAACATTCAATACTAATGAGCTTACCAGACTTCCTATCCATAAAAGTGTGCGTTTTCCCATCATTATAAATCACATTTGACAGAGAAATAACTCGGAAAACAAGGGATAAGCGATGCTCATGTCGTTTTGATTACCGCTATACTCCGTTTCACACAATAGGTGCAATCCTGTGAAAGCTATGCAAAAATGTTCAACTGTGAAATGTACCACTCCGCGTGCATCGTAGCCAGTTTTCATCGTTGTAAACACTCGCATGAGCCGAGCAGGTGCTTCTGCGTGACATTCCTTATTTCTTCCAAAAAAAGGAAGAAGAGACTTTCTTGTGGGTACTTTGGACAGCATTTGCTGTGGTACTGTATTCATTTATTAGTGGCTTTGGCGCACATCAGGAGATGCACATTTGTACTTGCACACGCACTGCTGTTTTAATGCATGATCATGTCACATTTCTAGCTAGTACAAATTATGGAGGTTTCACTGTATTACTAGATAATTCCCAGTTACACATGTTGCTACCAACAGTTTTGTGGGGAAACCAGGGCAATAATGGCGATGAGACGAGCACTAGCAAGCCCCACGAATGAATCAAATTAGAAAGTGATCGAACTACACTGGATATGGGTGTGGTCACATCCTTTGTGTAGCCAGTGCTGCTCGGTCGACAACAATAATCGGCTAGATTTGGTGGTTTACATTTCAAATTGACAAGTATCGCGGGAATTGACATTTATGCACATCCTAGCGCAGCAGGTCAGATTGGCACAGAATGGCGCAATTGGCACAGCACTTCCATCTCCGATTTTAAATTTTAATGTACTCTCAGCTTATAAGCTGATATAACAAGCTTTAAAACTTAAAAAATATAATGAATAGATGTGAGGGTATATGTTCTTTTAACCTTAATGTGGGGCTTCTGGGCAATGTGGATTTCCCCTGAGTATATGTATTTACCGTAAGCACTCCACTGCAGTGAAACCACCTTTACAGGAACTTGCATATGACAATTATATGTCTATTTGTTCATTTCGAATGCTTTGAAATTTAGGACAACTTAAATTATGTTGAAGCAAATTTGAATACTATAATATCTGCTCGAATATTCAAAGGGCTCAAATATTCGCACAGGCCTACCCGCCCCGAAGCTCTAACTTATCAGTTATATGTCCTTTCTAATGTCATGACTTGTCCAGGCTCATTTTTTTTCTGTTAATGTTAACTATATCAGCAACTACCTCTGATTATTCTTTGATACAATTGGCTATCTTCACAATAGCTGAAAATCAAGGGTTCGCTAAGAAAAATTCTGAAGATATTTCGTCCCAAAACCATAACATGATTGTCAGGAACATAGTGGAAGAGCTCCGAAAACTCCGTCCCGCTGGGGTTCTTTAAAGGGACCCTCGAACACTTTTCTAAATGACCGTAGAATGGCTTAGTTAGCTAAATACTGAGCATCGAGGGATAGCATGGGGCGTGGGGGAAAGAATTCACGTCAGACATGCACTGAGACTTAGAGCACATTTTCTTCTTTTTTATTCTTTAAATGTGCAACTAAAATGAAGTGAGACTGCATGCCTGTGGGCATGTGGCGAACTCCTGTGGTGGAAGAAGTAATTGTGCAGCTTACAATGTTCTAATCAGCCAATGGCTGTGAATTTGGGTACACGGTCTGATCATACGAGCATATGGCATAATTTGTAGAGAGAGGAGGGAGTGATTTTTAGTCGACTTTACGAACAGTGCATTCCCGGCCATGCACTGCACTACAACATTAGTCTTCAGTGTTCTCAGGAGCCTTTAGTACTGAAAGACAGCCTTTTCTGAATCTGCCGGAAAAGTGTTGCAAGGCCCCTTTAACGTGCAGCTAAAGAAGTACACCGACCTCTAGCCTTTTTTCTCCACTGAAATATGGCCGCCGTAGCCAGGATTTAGTACCGTGGTCTTCTTGTCAGCAGTCACGCACAATAACCACTAGATCATTGCAGCGGGTCGAGGATCAGCTAAGGCTGGTTACAGGAGACCAAGACGTGGCCCAACCTCACGACATCCTGAAGTGAGGAGGCGTCTCGGAGGCTGTTTTTTTCAACTAAGGATGTTAATCTTCCTTATCATTTTACGTTCTATTGCATGCCTTGTGCTCGCTAACTTCTCGAGTATTTTTGCTGTTCTGTAGGTTTCTGCTGCGTATGTTATAAGTGGCCAAATGAGATGTTTGCACTTACTGTTTTACCGAAAGCAGAAAGCGTACAGCCCCTGAATAACCCCAAACAAGAAAGATGATGGTAAGTGTTTTTGGAAAAAGGTGTAGGTGTTTTTCACGCTTCGGCTTCAAGCAAGTCCTGTTGGCAAGCTGGTTATATAGTTGAATAGTTGAACAAAACATCACTCGCTTCGTGACACATAAAGAGTAGTGTAGTGTTCAACTGAACTTGATGTACAGTAGTTCGTCCCTCTAAAATGGCATTTTTTTTTCCAATTTGCAATACAGTTCTCATTTTTCTCTATTCACCTACAGTTATTTATTTTTTATTTGTTCTTCTATGCACTCGCAAATGTAAAATTTCAGAATTGCTTCATCACTAAACAAAATGTTCAATATGTTGCTTCAAAAAAGCAGCCTAATATAATATAGATATTCTAGTTTAACTGCTCATTTGTTTAAACTTAAACTTCACACAGTACGGTATATCTATTTAGGGGCAAATTCTGTTTAATTATGTTCGGACACAGCACCTGTCTGGTATGTTCTAAATAAATTTAATGTGTTGTCTGTGGCAATGTCAGATCGTAAAAATAGATTTTTCGAAGCACAAAAAAAGTAACATCACCTGACATGGGTGAAACATTAGCCTAATTAAATGTTTCAGGTAAGCTTGTGTGAATAGTGAATTCTGGGTCGAAGTGAATAGTGATTTGGTCGAATAATTACAAAATGAACTCGAATAGAATCCTGCAAGACTCATTATTAAAAGAAATGGACATGCTTGTCATGAGTATCATGACCCAGCTAACCTGCACAATATATTTAAAAAATTGAAACAAGGCCAATGCAAACGCATTTTTTTTGGTTCAAGGGAAGTGGAAACAACCTTGAGTAGCAGCAGATCTTGCCTTTCAAGAGAATGCAACTGACAGGCTGTATAATATACCATGCTATAAAATTTACTACACTTTGAGTATATAAGCAAGCTTTTAAACTTAAAGGGACCGACGATTGACTTTTTTCGACCCAGTTTTTTCCGGCACGATAGAAAGCTTACCTTTTATAGTGTTTGTAGCAGCAGCAATTAATCCCAAAAGCATTTAGTTATTTTATAAGCAGTAGTTTTCTATCTGAAATGCTCTGAACACCGATGTCCCTTTTCGTTCAGCAACGCTGAGAATTGATAGCGATGCCGGTAGTCCTTTTAGCGACTTGTGCATGTTATTCTAGTTCCTTTAACTATGCTTAACCACGTTTATTCTGACCTTTACAGCTACTTTTTTTTAAATAAGAAGCCATTACATTCAGATGATGTGGCTTTATACAGCTTCCCTGTATTTGTACCGTGCTGCGTGAGCCTGTGCACAAGGTTGTTGCACCGGTGTTGTGAATGGCTTGTCCTGTCATCATTACTCTCTCAACACACGAGCCACGCCAAGTTACCGAAAACATCACTGCGTATATGGGCGGCCGTGCTGAGTATCAGTATATTTCATTTCTTAGACAAAATGCAGGTAGAAAAACTATGTCGGTCCAAAATCTTAGCGACCTGGAAAGTGCGTACATGGTTTCATGAGCACGCAGGAAAGTTGCTCCAGACCTGTTGAAGAGCAGGTATCATTGCACCCCACGAAGGCAGCGCTGCTTTTATGAGTACAACTAACGCAGGCCTATATGCGCATTTTTATGGAATAATATTTTTTACTATAAAGGAGCGCACAATATTTCAACAGTACCAACAAAAAAATTGTTGATCACGCTACATTATTCTACGGTCATGTGACAAGGTACATCGAATAATCTAGGTTTTTGCCACCAGTGGTGCCGTATTTTTTGCGCCATTTTCAATGAATTATCAAAACACAAATCAACCTATCACGAGACACGCAGGGTTGGTTTGACAACCTATAAGGGACAATCTTTCCATCCGTGCAATCATCTCATTTTATGTTCTGGGCTGTTATCGGTCCTTTTAAAAAATGCTGAATTGATGTTAGGATAATGTGCTCACATCAATTGAAAGTGAATCTCCGCGACAGTGCAGATTTTCCTGAATAAGTGTCTTCATAGCTTAGCACCTTTCCACTGCAGTGAGAACATATTTACAGAAAGGTTACATGCGAAGTAATATACATTTAGATAAGTGTTTTCACAGCTTGGCATCTCTCCACTGCATTAAAACCACCATTAAAAAAATTACATGAAGATCAATTAATTACACACCTACTCGTTCATTTCAAATTTGAATCAAATTGAATTTCAATACTGTAATATTCATTCGAATATTTGGACAAGCCTAGTTTATGGGTGGTGTCATCCTCCCGGCACCATTCGTTAATTCATATGTACATTTTAAAGACGGTAGTCTTTCTTTGGATGCGACAATGCTGAAATTTTGGTTTGCCTGGCTGCCTTTCCATTTGTCTGCCTGTTACTCGAAACGATTGAGCCACCCAGTCAATGTTTAAGCGCTTTCTCAAAGCCCAGCCATCTTTATCTGGTGGCTGCGTTCATACTTGTGAACACTGTCGATCAAAAAGCAAATATTACTAATATTTGATGTGCAATATCAATACGTAACTATTAGGTTGTGTATTCCTTTACGAGAAAATACATAGGTAGCTAATTATAAAGACCCTAGTGTTTCTTACGGTGTGCTGACAGTGCGACTCTTTGCAAAGACAATACGGTGATGCCACCTACCAATAGCTCTGCATTCTACACAAGCTTTCGTTCACCAACATTACTGCCAGACGGCGTCTACCGTATTTACTCACATAATCCTCGCACTTTTTTTGGCGGAAAACCGATGCAAAGTTGGGGGGTGCGAGAATTACGCGGGGAAATTTTTCCACGAAAACGCCCAGAGTGGAAAAGAAAATGGAGTGGCCGCAAATCGGGATTCTCACACCAGCAACTAACAGCAAGCTTTGAGAAGTACTAATTAAAACTTACCTCAACAATAAAAGCACAGGTTCAACACAAGGCAACATTTGTTTGAGACACAAAAAGTGCAAGCAAATAGTCGAGAATTGGACAGCCATACGCAAAGCTTGTGGGCTTTGTGGGCGTGGCAGTAGCGTTCGTTGCTCAACAGGAGCCCTCAAAAGATAAGCGTAGGATGCCAGTAATGGGCTGATAACTATTTAACAGAATCGTGAGCAGTTTTCTTCTGAAAAACTCAAGTTTACTATCAATCCCAGCTTTAGGCACACGGCAGGCCCAAGGCGTCTTGGTGGCTTTCAGATGCCATCACCAGTAGCGAACACAAAACTCGTATGCTCTGAAAGGCCTACCGGCGGCCCTGCCATGATCTATCACTTTCAAATCATGATCTATCACTTTCAACTTGAAAGTGAAAGCAGCCATGTAGCTTCAGTATTGACCATAACGTGACAAGATTACCGAAACAACATACAAAACACGCTACAACGCGCACTTGCCAGTTTGGCTTGGCTTGGCTTGAATTGAATCTCCGTGCAATAATAGTGCGCTTGATGCTTAAGAGATGGCCCCAAATGACGCGTGCTATCATCATCAGTGGTTGGAACAAGCAGACGACATTGTAGTGGCAGTTTTCGGGGATGCAATAATTACTCGAGAAAAAAAAATCGTATTTCTGATGGGCGATGTGGGGGGTGCGAGAATAATGCGAGTGCGAGGATTATGCGAGTAAATACGGTATATCTCATGCAGTGCCTCGAGACAGAAGACTATATAGTCTGCTGCTGCAATATGAAACCCTCACCACGAAAACCTGTGCAGGTATCTTGAGGTTATTCAAAATAACGCTGCACCATTTTACTCTACCGGATTATCACCGTAAATAAAGCGTAACAGCAATGAAACACCATTTGTCACTGCCACCTTTATCATTATATTGGAAGTACTTCGCTTTTGCCTTTTCCATAAAACCTACCATCATCCAGTACTGCGTAGTGAGCTCATTATGCCTCCCACATATTCCTCTCGCATTGACCTCAAACATAAGCTTAAACGTACTTTCTGCTACACAAACACATTTTCTTGCTCCTTCATACCGGTCACATCAAACGATTGGAATCATCTACCAAGTGACATCTTTTCCATCTTTGATCCCTTCCTCTTTCGTCATTTTTATCAGCTCACCTACTTCCCGATAGCTTTCCCTAGTAATTCTATCTATTTCCCTCCGCACGACTTTCTGTCTACACATGTCAAGATGCCGCCGCTTTCCAGCAAAATTCTTTCTTTTCTTTATTTTTTAATTTTTGTGTCACTTCTTTTAATTTTACATTTCTTTGCTAGTATTGTGTAACTTTACCACATTCACTATTTTCTTTTTGTGATTCTCTTATTTCAATTTCTTTTTTTTACATTTCACTTTCGTTTTGTTTCACTATATAGAAATGTTATTTTGCTTTAGTCTTGTTCATATATAGCATAATTTTGTTTTGTCGTTTTGTATTTTTCATGTTGTAACCCGCTCCCCTCTGTAAAGCTTCGGCGATTGAGGGTAACAAAAATAAATAAGTAAATATTATTTCGACAACATTTGCAGGTTAGCACGAAGATACGTGGCCTCCACCCCTTTTTTTTACCTGAAACCATCACGGACTACACATACCTCTGCCTTATAGCTAAAGATTTCAATAAGAAAAGTTGCCACAGAGTTATCTCAGTGCATAAGAACAAAAGGATTACTGTTTAGCTGAAGAAGAGACTCAAATGAAACAAAGTCTAACTTACCGTTTCAGTCGTTTTCGAGACTCTGGGATGGTCGAAGGGTCCTGTTTGAACAGGTAGCGTCTCACACCAAGAAGGTAGTTTTCCCAATAGCTCTCCCAGTTGATCTTCCGAATGTCTATGTCAAATGTCTGAAAGGAAAATATTTGTAAGAAAGCGCAATAAAAAGAAGCAAAAAAAAAATTAAGAAGATTAAAATTCCACACTTAGTTACATTACCACTTATTCCGACTCCTTAAAACTGATTAGGGCTACTCTTTAGGCTTTATGTGTGCTCTCATCATAGCACGATCAACATGAGGCATTAAAAAGAGCTTGCCATAATGTTTCCAAAAAACAGTAATAAACTGTAGGCAAAACTCGTTAACTCAAAGTGGTTAATTGAAACAAATGCCTTGGTCCCAGCACGGCTCTTGTATATTTCTATGGGAGAGAACTCCCTAATACTTCAAACGTGTCCGCCTCCCCGATGGCTAATTTGAACTGGCAATCCCTGGTTTTCATCACTCCTTACACAAGTGGGCCCAGAGTGTTCCCAATGTATTGCAAAACCAAATCAAACCAAGCTTACTAGAGATGCAAAACAATGAAACAGCAGCATTTTTCAGCAAATGAGAATTTGGACACTGCACTGAAGCTCTTGGACAAGCTGCAAACGGTGCTCATGGATTCATGACACGAGAAACGCAAGCAAGGGCAAGTTGCTGAATACTTTAATACTGATTACTTTAACTCTATTATATAGAGTTTAATATTATACAGTTTTATATTATATAGAGTTTAACTCTATTATCTAGTTATATAGAGTTTGGGACATAAATACCATCATATATTTCAACATGAAGGCTCATTGCTCACACGATTGCATGTTGATGTTTTTTCTGGCACATCATTGACTGATGAATTAATTGCTGTTAAAAGCTCCATGAACTTAACGAAATCACATGCCACAAATCTGTAGTAGCGCCTAGTTCACAATAACGAGTTTAGAGGTGGCACCATTGGGTCCTGTTCATGCAGTATGATATGATGTCCATTCTAGCGCACGCCTCCCTTATTCAAACTTCCTTAACTCGAACAATTTTATAGTCCCCCTTGAGTTTGAATAAACGACCTTCTACTGTATTATTCGACTGCATACTATAGAAAATTAACAATTCTGCAACTGCAACAGTTAAACCTTCGAACATACTCATGACAATGCAAGAAAGAAGAAAGAGTTTGGTTTGTGTGACAAGTTCACTTATATTTGGCATATTTCAAAATATTTTGTGGCAAGTGATTCGTGAGGCAGTACTAAGGAAAGTCTACAACATAAAAAGGCATTGCAGGTCCACTTTAAAAAGAAAAAGCAGTTATGATTCTGAACTGATATTAAAGACGAGCGGTGCCGATTCCATGGGAAATGATGAGATGCGAGAGGAAGGTTAATTTCCTAACAATGCTCCATTGGATGCTATTCCTTTCTCTGGTTTCTCTATTTGTCAAAGCCAACACTATCAACAGACTCCGATAGCAATGCCCAGATAAAAATGGCTCACAACTGAGCGGAAGACATATTGACAAAACACTTTTCTCTTGTACAGGTGATAAGTGCGGTTCTTAGTGCCAAAAATTACCACGAAATGCACATTGGTAACGTAAATAATACTCTCCACACGTGATATGGGCTTTAGATGATTTGTCCAGTCATAGAAATTTTCTGTAAATTAAAATGGTGACACAAACTGCCTTAATATTGGCGAGTGTAAATGAGTGACACAGTAGTATGTAACGCGCTGTCCTTGAACGTTTGCTGTTTCCATAATTAAAGTTTCTTGAAAGTTAGTGTTTTGTCTAGTACAGTAGACTGTCAGTAAACAGAAATCTGTTTAATGAAACTGCTGCTTAAATTAAAACTGCCTCAGGTGTTATTGGTTTTGCACCTGAACGCCACTTCTTTATTCATCTCTCTGAATAAGGAACTCCTGTTAAATGCAACATATTTTACCTGTGCCTTCAGGTTTCGTTTAGTGAGTGTCTATTGTACTTTGTTCTCCTCCTAATTCACTTTTGCCATATGAAACCTCAACCGCAAATGAGTACGACATAACTGGAAAGCAGATATGTCACAGCCTTTTCACCTGCACAGAGATCTCAACATAAACAACAATCGTGTGAAATTAAAAGCAACAAAGAGGAAATTGTAAATGGTGTTTGCTGACCTGCCTATCGAAGGGTGACAGCCTACTGTGGAGCAGCAGCATGTTGTTGGACGAGAACTCCCATGTCTGTGTGGTAAAGAACCTCACTGCTTCCATGGCACTTTTGGACTGCTCCAGGAACCGCACCATCCTGATAAAAAATAACAGCCATTTAAGTGCCACTTTGAGCAAATCAACCATTTTCTGTGCTCAGTAGAATACGCACTGTATCTAAGGCAAGGAGAGAGAGAGAGAGAAAACTTTATTAAAAGGTCAGTCAATTGCTCAGGCATGGCCCGTTGCCCCTAGCTGTCGGCCGGAATCCCTTGGGACGCGGCAGCAGCAAGGGCTTGACTGATGATGTCGCGCTGGACGTTGGGATCTGGGCTGCAGAGCAGGGCCTCCCAGGATTCTACAGTGCGAGAACCATCGTTTTGACTTGGACATGTCCACACCATGTGGACCAAATTCGCTACGTCATCACAAAATTTACACTGGGACTGGAAAACTGCGGGGTGCCACTTGCTGTAAAGTGCGGGGTTTGGAAAAACCCCGGTCTGTAACTTTCGCCACAAAATCTCGTTTTTCTTACTTAGTGAGTTGTCCGCTCTCGGGTATACTTGCCGATTCAGCCTGTAGTGTGCGACGATTTCATGGTATGTGCGCATATACTCGCTTCTTTGTTCGGTAACTTGGGAGGTTCCAGGGGTCGACCGGTAGGTGAGACCTCGGGCGACGGAATGAGCCTCCTCGTTCCCTCTAAGTCCTTGGTGAGCTGGAGCCCAGACAAGCAGAATCTGCTCTTTGGGTACTCCTACCATGTTTAATATACGGATGGCAGTCTCCGTCACCCTTCCCGATTCGTAATTTCTCACAGCGTTTTTGGAGTCGCTGATGACCAGAAACTTTGGGGGTGCTAACACCTTCTGTAAAGTCGTTTGCACCTCATTGTGCACACGTGTTTCGCACATAGGCAGCATTTAGGGTTCACAACCATCGAGTGGTAGGTGGCGTGTTGCTCGCAAGCGTTTATCACCACTATGATCATCATGGTTCGTCCTGGTTTGGGGTTCGAACCTGGGACCAGGAGGAATTCTTCGGCAACTAAGGGGCTTTTTTTTTTTTTTCAGGAAATCTGTACGGATTTCCTTGTGATTTCCTGCTACAAACAAGTGGTTGCCCTTTTCCTTTTCTTAACCCTTCGGCCACCTTGTGGGTTTCTGCAGAACATATTTGCATTACTTATGTCCATGTGCTTCAAGTTGTCGATGAATTCACCCTCGCACAGTCAATAGCTAGCTTTCTCGTTAGCTCATTTAGCAGAGCGGCCGTCCCGGATAGGCCATTGGTCCCGGGTTCAAACTCCAAACCTGGACTAATTTTTTGGCAACTAAGAGGCTTTTCTTTTGAGAATTTTATTCCTTGTGGCTTCATCTAAAAAAACTGGTAGTTGTCTTCTTTCCCTTTCTCAACCCTTCTGCTGCCTTGCCGGTTTCTGAAGAACTCATTTGCATTCAATGGCTTCAGCAAAATTTGTTGCAATTGAGATTGTGAACTACGCTCTAAAACAAGAAAGATTGAGTCAAAAGGACGTCTTTTTGTCCCACAACAATAATAATCAAGCGGCTTGCCTGACTATTACCTTCCTTCCTTTTCTGAAAACTCTGTGCTGGCCACTTTCCAGTAAAGAAAGCTACGTCACACTGATAACACACATGATGTTCATCACCTGAAAGTGCCAGATGCGCGACAATAGTGCAAGGAAAGGAACGCTAGATAGATGATGATTATTGTTGTGGAATAAAAAGAGACGCTACTTTTACTTGATCTTTTTTTTGAGTGTAAGTCCTGACTCGAATCCCCATATGATGGCTCATTCTCAGATATAACATTTTGCTGTCTAGTATGTCACATTTTCGGCAGTAACAAGTAGGTTCAATACAGAGCACAAACACAAGTTAGGCTCTCAACTGGCACAGGCTTGCGCTGCAGCTGCACTCACCGTGGTCTCCGGCCAGTGCAACGGCTCAGTAGGTCCACAGCGAGAGCCGGCAGGTAATTTCGGAAAAAGACCATGACCGACTGGTAGAGACGGCTTGTTGTCATATCCACACGGGGGCAACTCAAGGTCTCTTGGAATGGATACTGGGGCAGGAACTTGGCCAGGTAGCGTTTCACGTCCCCCACAACCAGCTTGTTCAGTGAGCCTGTCACACAGTTGTACACGGCTGGCGGTTGTGCCTCAACCGTTTCCCAGTGCTTCTCCTTGGCTGCTTCCAACTCTCTCTGACGTGCCCTGAAGAATTTCAGACACACAGTCAAATACCGCATGTCTCAGGAGCCAGCAATTTGCCAGTTCCACGTGGCTGCGGTGCGTGCACCCTTCTCTAGGGGAAAAGTCGCGAAACGACTCTTGGTTTCAAAGGCCTTCGCTCTAGCGACTCCAATTCTCTCGGCCCCTACCAAACCCCACCAAAACGCCAGAGGGCAGCACAGAAAAATGGAAAGAGGCGGATTCAAGTAGCCAGCTAGTGTAGCCCATATGTCTTGTTTCTCTTGACAAATAAACTAAGCTCTCAGTTGTACAATGCTTAGAGAATAATCAGTGATTTTCCTATACGCTCTATGCAAAAGTAATTTAGTTAAATGAAATAATCAATAGACCAAGGTTCGCTATTTGAAACAGTACAACAAAATTTCGCAGATCTGATGGGTCTGGTGTTCTTGTTGCTGAGTGACAAGTATCACTACACATAAAGCACGGCTACTCTATGCAACTACGTCTCATCAAGCATGCAAGCAATCATGACCATGCTGGAAGCAGATGTCATCACCCAGGCTACTATATAGTGAGTAATCTCACTCAGAAAACAAAAGGATGTCACTGCTTGTTTCCACATATTGCATATCGAGCTTGTTTTCCACGGTCCTTTTAAGTAAAAAAAAAATATCTATGCTGGAATCTTCCACAGCCACAAAAAGTTTTAATCAGCTGACAGATTTTTTATAGCTGCTTGCTGTAGCACTAGCAATTTCACAAAGTTACGCACTTGTCAGTGAAGTGTTGTGAGACAAATATACTAACAAGGTTTCTGTTCTTTTTGACAAGTTGAAACCAAAACTTACAGTGACGTGACAGGTCTCGCTCAATGATCTGTACATGACGCGAGCATCGTACCACAAAACACATAGCGTGGCCATTGTTAACTAAAGTGCTCTAATTCAGGTTGTCGCCCTTGGTATCTTAACCCAAAGCTGTCTTGTTTTTCAGGCATGCGATGCGTTTCGACATTGGACATTCATCAGGTAGACCAGACAGCATGTGGCTTAGGTTGTACAACCAAGCATTTGGCATTGTACTACATTTTGCCAGCAGCCGTGGTTCTGATGGCAAGTAGTAGCAGCAATATGAGTGTGATGGTTTTGCTTAGGCTAATTATTACAGTATGGCAGCGGCTATGCTTTGCACAAAAAGGTTTCATTTGAATATAACGAATTGAAGTACAAGTTTTACTGACTGAGTTATGTCAAGGTTTAGCTACCACTATTCAGTGAATAATAGGCAATAAAAATCACCGTTTAGCTGCAGTTTGGCAAGCAACCACAATCAACAGGTTGGCCACAATGTCCACAGGCACAATGTCAGCAATGCCTTTGACAGTCTGTCACAATGGTAGTCATCACACCAGATGCACACTGCACATAAAATAAGAACTCAAGCTTGCTTTTCCAAAGCATGCACAGCACAAATCAGCAATCTTGAACTACATATACAAAATGGCAACTCTGAACAAGTCACGAACAAAAGGAATGCTTTGCAATAATAATAATAATAATAATAATAATAATAATAATAATAATAATAATAATAATAATAATAATAATAATAATAAACAAGTCATCTTAAGATAGCCTTGCACAACGTGTGCCAAGCCCAATAGAAGTGCTGAGCTAGACAACTTTCCTTGTTTCTATTATTTTTCTCTTTCTTTGTCAGTTTTTTACTGTTTCATACCACTGTCTTTTTTCGTCTTTTTTGTCTCTGTCTAGTCCCATTTATCCCACTCTCCTATTTTTGGCTTGCTCTCAATTTCTCTCTCCGTTTCTCACTTTCTTTCTCTTTCGGCATTTCCTTCTTTATTTCTCTCCCTCTTTTTTTATATGTTGAGCTCAACTCTCTCCTCTCCCCCTCAAACCTCACTTCCAGTTCTACTCTCTTGCTATACAATACCGTCATGCACGTTTATAAACTTTATCCTGATGTATTCGTGTTTCCAGCACAGAAAACTGTATTATCGCTCGGTGCAGACCGCGCTCCAGCATCTGAAAAGCTTCGCAAGTGTGCGCAGGACGCGAATTGTTTACTTTATTCCAGAGCTTACGCAACCACCAGCGATAATGCTGGAATCTTTGACAGCTCATGTATAAAAGACAACGCACTTTACCACGGCGGCCGATGTTCTGTTCACAGATATCTGTGTATGCAATGCGTAATGCTGTATTTAAACTGGTTACAAGTCTGGCAAATAAAGAATTCAAAATAAAAGTACAATGCAAAAAGATGAGACACAGGAGACAAGTAGACTACAGTGTTGCCAACCACATTTGGGAAATTGGCCTACGTCATGATCGAAATTACCCTACTTTATCAGACAAAACATTTTTAATTACCTATCACCCTACATTCTATCCTACACTGTAATATAGTATAATGTAACAATATTAAAGTTCAGACTATAGTACTTCACATTAAGATCTGCAAATGTGTAGTGGCGCTGACTTTAGTAGCTACTTCGGCGATTTCAAAATTAGTTTCGAAGAGAAACTGCAGATCTGCTGTCGAGAGACAGCAGACAGAAAGAAAAGCATTCCAGCATTAGTATGGGAACAAAATTATTCATAGCAGGAAAAGGAAGTAGGAGTCTCATCAGTAAGTAGACAGCTAATAATAGTGTAAGAGACATGGTAACAAAGATCATTATTTAAGTGACACATCATTGACGTGGAATTCTGAAGAGCAGCGATGAAAGAAAAGTACCGCGTGTATGCTAGGGCTCTAACTTATATGAAGCCGCGGGTTCGGTGATAAAAAAATGCCCCCACCTCCCCGAAGAGAATCGTGGGAAAACGTGAATGCATTTCTTGCGTTCTTGCGCCGAGAGAGGGTACTGTTGTCGTCAAACATTTGCCTTCACCAACTGCTGATATCGCCTTGAGACGCACCCAGCCAGCGAACAGTCGAGAGTGAGAAGCGATCGGACGGGAGAGTGGGGCGCCAGCGTTCTCGGCACAATATTTTACAGAGGAGTCTTGAGCACACATTTCCAGATGTTCATGAGAGGCGCAGAGCCAGCGAACAGTCGGGAGAGCCACGAGCGGACGAGAAAGTGGGGTGCAAGGAGGAAAGAGAGCGAACGATAAAAGAAGGAGCAGCGAAGAACTGTACCTATTGTCTCCTACATTCTCTCGCACTACATGCTCCGGTTGCTAGGGTGAGAATAGGCGCACACGCTCGTAGCTGTTGCTATGGGAGAGGGAGTGAGAGTGAAGAGATAACACCTGCCGGCGCGCGGACAACGCCAGATGCCTGACATAGCCCAACTAAGAAATGCGTTTGCATTTAAAAAAGTAAATCACTACTGGAGGATTAGAGGTGGAGAAGTAGGCAGAAATAAAAAAAGAACAGGAAAGCTAAAGTTAATCTGCCACAAGGTGCACAAATTTGGGCTGTGGAAATATATTTTTAGAGGATAAAAATCCTAATTCAGCTGGACAGGATTAGGCCGTTATGTATAGATAATAACACCAACAAAACCTTGAGCTTGCCTAAGCATAGGTCTACACCCCGGTAATAAAAGGGACTTTTTTTTTTATTGATTACTCTATATACCGCCATCCGAAAAACTCATATGGTCCCTATCGCATTTGCCCAAGATGACTGCAAGGTGAAAGCCATTTTTTTCTTATTCTTCTCATCTGATTGTATTCATTCCTTCTGCTCTCAAAGGAATTCTGCAACTAGTGTGATTTCGCAAGGCCTCAGTGATCAGAGGCACTGCAGGCTTCCTAAACATCACGTGCCTCAGGGTTCCACACAGGTATAACCAAATGACGATTTCATGCGATGACGCCATCATTTCTATTGCACTACATTGTGATGTCCAAGCTACTTTACTACAATGCCGCCTCATATATTTGCGATCCTTGACGTTACAATGACATCATGAGGAGACATTGCTATATCAGGATTTTTTTTCATTACTTGTGTTAATGCTGAAGGTCAGTTTTTGTGTCTGATGAGGCAACTAAGGCTTGCACGCTAATAACTGGAACCAACTGTCAGCGGAAAACCTAAACGCCCCTCCATGCAATGAACGAATGCGAGTCGATGTTGGAAAAAATACTAGGCCCATGGCCATCTAGAATAAATTGCAAAACGATGAACATGCTGCAACGTTTTTTCAAAGACACAAAGATTTGTGACCAGTACTAAGTGAACTATGTTAAAAGTGAGCGTGACGGCTACACATTTGTCCCACTCAAATGAGAACTTTTGGACTCACCTACATAGAAGTGTATACTTGTATAAATGCTTTTTTTTTATTCTTTATTTGTAACAATCAAGTGGAAAAGGGTAGCTGTCACCAAGTAATGGTGGCAACAGCTCCTTTGTTTATTTTTCATTTTAATAAAAAAAGCATGAATGAGAAAATACAACAAACATAGCACAGAATAGTATGACATTATGACATTATCGTTGGTCTCTGCCCTATACTGGTGACATGTGAATAAAGACGGTTCTTGTTTCATTCAATGAAAATTCTTGGATCTCTTTAAGACAGTAACCCTTGAAAATTTCGGGCGAATCGTCCACATTTTCACATCGACGGCAGACAAAATGCATAAACAATCCAACGTTGCTTTAAGAAAGTTGCATTATCGCACTACTACCCTACGGAGGCCGAATTGTCCCGAAATTACCCTACAAGTAATTATCCTACAGTTGGAAACACCGTCAAACAATGCATCAACTCGCCCAGCAGCACATTCTAAAAATGGATCCACCTTAGAGGTGCTGCCTGCTGCCTTCATCAAAGTCATGATCACGTGACAATACCATACAAGGCTTTGCTATGCACTGACAGCAAGCCTCGATAGCCGACGTGGTCAAGATGCTCGACTTCGGATAGTCGGTACAGATCTCTGCGCCTTATGAGGAAAATTTTTTTTTTGACAGGACTTCCTTTTTTCTATCTTTCTCTCTCTCTCTCTTTTGTACTCATTCCCACCTCTCACTCATTGGGGTTATTACACGACATGCTGGAGAATGTGATTTGGGAGCGAAACCGAAGATGAACAAGTGGACAAAGACAGTGCACGCTGATCCTTGATAAGTTCGCACTACCCGAATGAAAAACTTCAGCAGCTCTGCTCTTAAAAAGTTTCCAGAATATTTTGTCCCTTCCTTAACGAGACTAGCACATAACTACCACAAACTACACATTGACCATGGGTCAGCACAAAAAAAATGTCACCTGCTCAACCTTTCCCACCATTATGTTTGTGGGATTCAAGAGTGACAAGGAGCCAAAGCAAAATAATCAACTGCAGTGACAGATCGTAAACATGAACTGAGAGAAAATGCCAAATTTCTAAAGCTTGTGCCCACAAAACTGCATTAGATCGACCTATTTGCACACATTATTTAATGAGGGAATAGATAGGTGTCTTACAGAGGCCAGCAGACTTGTAGATCCATTTAATGCATCAACCCAGCCCTGAAATAAATATTGAAGAAGAAATCTGTATTAAAAAATGCTACAGAGAAAGTATACAGATATCACATTCAACTATTAGTGCTTTGTAGTAAGGTTTTCTGAATACCCACAGGAAAGTTAACAGATACCTACCTCTGACACCATTATATACAGTAAAACATCACTGTACAATAGTTACATTACTTTAAAAAAAAAAAAAAAGAGGACAACTCAGGCTCATCATTAGGTCCTGGTACACATCTTTATTACTCAATGGTATCAAACAACACTCTCAACTGCAATGTACCACTTTGGATTACATGACACACTTCGACATCGAAGTGTGTCCACACATCGTGGAGCCGATGTGTCCACACATCGGCTCCAGCCACACATCGAGTGTGGCTGGAGCCGCAAATGCACCGAGTGTTTCCGAGATCGCCGGGCTCGACACGTGCTCCGAATCGATGCCATCCAGTGTGACACCGAGTGCTTCTGATATCGCCGGACCCAGCACTTCGTCTGAATCGGTGCCACCATCGAGCGTGAGTGGACCGTCGCTTCATCTGCGGACGCGTTTCCAAACGAAGGAAGAAATCGATGCGAATGCGAAACGTCGTGACACCGTTCGCGTTGAACTCGAGTCTACGCCGGCGACGCAGAAGAAATTTCAACTGATGCAGCCGGCTCTTGCACCTCCAGTGACAAGTGAGGGCGAACATTTTTCGCTCGTTCAAATGAACATCTTTAACGTCGTGCTCAGCCGCACAGTGTGCAAAGAATGTTTGAAAGGTGCTATGACTGTCCGAGAGAGCACCAAGCTTGGACTTGCAACAAAACTTGAAGTCGTGTGCGCCTCTTGTGGCACCGTCGATAAATTATGGACATCACCCCGCAAAAAGGACACGCAGGCCTTCGATGTAAATGTCCGCGCCATAATGGCTATAAAGCAATAGGCAAGGGGCAAACAGCTCTTAATGAATTTTGGGCTGCCATGAACGTCTCTTACAGAGGTCTTCACTACAAGACGTTTCAAAAGCACTTGAAAGAGACGTTCAGGAAGCCAGAGGCCACCGCTTTGGAGAAGTTTTATGCTGATTCTGCCACAGCAGTGATCAAAACATATAAAGAAATGGACCCCAGCTTCTGCAAGGACATCACCGTAGTGTACGATGGCACATGGCATAAGCGGGGTCACACATCACACATCGGAGTGGGAACGGTAATTGACTTCTTTACAGGTCTCATCTTGGATGCTGTAGTTCTTTCAAACCACTGCCTTGGATGCCAAACAGGGCCCAAACCTGGAGATGCAGCATACGAAAGCTGGCAGAAGCACCACATTTGCCAGAAAAACACAGACGCAAAATCGGGAAGCATGGAAGTGGAGGCAGGCTTGACTCTCTTTGGGCGGTCTGTATCCAAGCATGGCCTGCAGTACACCACTCTTGTGTCCGACGGAGACAGCCGTACCTTCGCTGCCCTCACAGAAGAGAATGTGTACGGGCTAGTGCCAATTGTAAAAGAAGAATGTCTGAACTATGTTCAGAAAAGGATTGGAAGTGCTCTTCAAAACATTGTGCAGAAAAGTGATAAGCCACTGAGTGGGAAGGGGAAGCTGACTAAAGCCCTCATTGAAAAGCTGACAGGATATTATGGTTGGGCCCTGAGAAACAATTCAACTGACCTAACAGCCATGCAGCGTGCAGTGATGGCAACATATCACCACGTCGCATCGACTGACCAGGACCCTCACCATGAACTTTGCCCAGAGGGGGCTCAATCGTGGTGTCGCCATAGAGCTGCAGAGGCAAAGCGTGAGCCACAGCCAAAACATAAACACAGCCTACCGGACTATGTCGCTGCAGCTATGCTGCCCATCTACAAAAGACTGTCACAAAAGTCGCTTCTTCAGCGCTGCCTGGGAGCGAAGACGTAAAATGCATCAGAATCATTCCACTCCATTCTGTGGTCTCTGATGCCGAAGGAACAACATTCATCCTTGATCGCGGTAGAAACAGCACTGCATGAAGCAGTGCTGCGCTACAATGCCGGCTGCTGCAAAGCAACCCAAGTGATATCGGACTCCATTGGACTTCAACCAGGTCATCTGGCCATCTAGCGAGCTCAAGAAAAAGACGCTTTACGCCTAAAAAAGAATTCTAAAAGACACCAAGAGAAGATGGAGGCCAGGCAAAAGAAGAAAAGAGTGCGCCAGGACACTTCTAGCTACTGTGCTGGAGCTTTTTGAAGAAAACACGTGTTTTGAACTTTCTCGGCCTGTTTTCTCAGAACAGATTTTTTTGCTAGTTGTGGTGCTGAGGAAAGCAAGAACTCGAAAACCGTTCATCAGATTTGTGTGCCGTTTTTTTTTATTCTGTTCCTGAATGACCTTGCAAGGGCGTAACAAGCTCCTTTTTTTGAAAATTGGTGCTGTTAATTTATAATAAACAATTAATTTTTGATGAATCTGGTCATTACTGGTTACATCAAATTCAGTTGCGTGAAAATTTGGGGGGGGGGGGGGGGAATTAAAAAAAACGGCTTTGTAGCGCCCTGGGATAGCTATTAAGGAATGACCACAATGAATTTCAGCTTTCTACTATGTCCTGGGATTTCTCACGACTCTTCCTCAGGCACCCATGTGAAGCACCCAGTTAAACCTCAATAACTCTGGAACTAAGAAACACAGCTTCGTGAAACTTAGCAGTTGTGCTAGTTTTATTGTAGTGAACAACCCCTGAAAGTTTCATCCAGATATCTTAAATAATAAAAAAGTTCGGTCTCCAGGGTAGCCTCCCCCCTTAAGCAGTCGCTACCTAAGGCCAGAGGGGCCAATGTGCGCTTCAAGCACGACTTCCCAGACCCCTCGTTGAGCCACATTTGCAAGGTATGCGACCGCTTGCGGTTTGATCATAACCTCACCTCCATCTTCTCTTATATGCACCTCTTATGCATATGTAAATCAATATGTATTCAATATGTAAATTAATAAACATTGTGTACATATGTGTATTTACAATCACCCTCTAACAACATGTCATGTCTTTATATGATGTATGGGGTAAATGTTTCATGGCTCTACCGATAAACGTTTCAGTTTCGCCCACTGATCAGCATTCCCTTCATGAAGATGGCATCAATTTATAGAAGCTTGCTCATAAAGCTCGCGCCCTGCCCTGCGGCTGTCAGCATGTTCTCGCGTCGCCGCTTAAGGTCACCACTAGTTGCCTGTTTGGTGATTCTAACAATGCTCACTAGATGGCGCGCCGCCGCCCAAGGAGTCAGTTTTCGATGGCCTGCGCACTCGCCTTCTCGCGACTACCTCCACTTCGTTCTCGTCGCTTTGTAGGCATGGCAGCACGTGACAAGTTCTTACGATAAGTGTTGCGCATTGGTATCGATATCTCCCAAGTACCCTAACCTGCCTGCGCTCAAACCCGTTCAGGGACGCCTGATAGCTCCACATCTGCCATTTAAGAGCGTTAAGCATATGACTCACGGCAGTGGGCAGTATGGCATAAAGGGGCAGGAGGTTAACGAGCCGATCAACGTGGCCAACACTGTGCAGTGGCGGCCGCACAACATGCCCGACAAGGCTGCCTTCGAATGCACATAATTATGCCGGATCGTTAACAAGTCTTTATACAGAAATTGTCCCACCAAAAAACGCCCCATGCACCTCCGTGCAAGCTGCTCTAACACCACTCACTTTGTGGTTATGGTGGTGATATTTTCGTTTTTTCTCTCTCTGTCCCTCATTCATTATCTTTGTGTCCTCTAGCCCTTTGTACAACCTCGTCGCTCTACCCATCGGCACACCACCATAAAGAAGTGTGCTCCCCACCACGTTGGTCATTAAAGATTTTGCGGCAACCGCATTATAGCTGGCCTTTCATCTTCGCAGGCAGCACAATAAGCGGTATGCATAATGTTTTTACGGAAGGGTAAACAGGAGACGGAAAAGAACGTGATGTAACCAGTCCTGCACTAAAAGCGATTGCACTATAAGTGATCTTCACTGCATTGGATCACATTCAGACATAGGTGAAACCATTGAAAAGGTTGCACTAGGCTGCCAACATTTTTGTTTGCTTGTTTTTTTTTTTTTGCATGTAAAGTAGAGTGTTTGAGCCATGTTACAATAAAAATATGTACTATCATTCAATTTTTTTTTTGGAAGGCAGATCGTGGATCTGCCTAGAAATAGCATCGGAGGATATATATGGCAATGACACTAACAATTCATTATTGAACATGATAATCTTTGGTTGAAGACAAACTATTCGCCATTTTTGCATGAGTGTCAGCTTAGCAGATAAAACTAGTGTGTTGCTTCCTTTTATTCATACAGAGGTCTGGTAGAGCATTAAAGAAAAAATGCAGGCATATCCACAAAGTGAATGATTATGAGTGGGCGAAGCAAGGGGATCCTTTGGTGTTACCATAAATCACCCGTGACATCGACTACTCTTGCATGTAAATGAGTGCCAAGCGGTGTACACTTTTATACAATGTTTACTGATCATAACTGGTATGCTGTGTTGAGTTGTGAATTTTATTTTGCCTTCATTATTACCGCTTTGTAGTATAGGATCTAGCCTGAGGTTAACAAAGACAAGGTCTAGGTACATTCCCCCGGCGGTTGTTGGCTGTTTCCAGTCATACGAGACGCCATCTACTGCATAAGGATGATATCGAGATGCCATTTACTGCACAAGCCAGTTGTCTGTGTTCATCATTGTCATTGTCATGGTATATAGTGGGTCCCTCGAATGTGCTATGCCGTGAAGGCAGAAAAATAATGTGTGGTCTGCTTGTTTTTTATCGTCATGAGCGCCGCCATCATGACGTAGAGTGGGTACTTTGCACATGCTGTGTCATGATGGCAGAAAGAGAATGTATAATGCACTTGTTCTTCATCGTCATCTGCATCATCGTCGTAGGCAGCTACGACGCACAAAGCCGACAACGGACAAGCCTCGATCTTAAGGAGCTTCGTTCCTAAAAAAGCATAACCTGCAGGGGAACTTTATATCTGTGCTCAGTATTAGGGTAATCATGGTAACATGCCGGTCACGCCAGTAGTTAATAGAGGCAATGAACATAAATAAAGTGGTTTGTAAACACCCATCGTTGAGCTGGAGCAAGATCGAGAGACCACTCACTGGAAAGGGCTCCTTCCAGGAGGCAGCCACAATGGACGGTCGCACAATGGCTACAGGCAAGTCACCACCTTCTTCGGCAACCAAGGACTCACTCAAGGAATTTGGCCAGAACGTAGGTGTTGGGCTTTGCACGTAATAGCTGAGGGGTAAGCGCAGCCAGCATGCCTTCTTCCATCCACCTGGGAGGGCAGCAACAAATGTTGCAACATTGCCGATGGGGCGTGATAGAGCTTAACAAGATTAACCACAGAGTAATAAGCAAATATATAGGACACACATACATTTCACACATTTAAGATGCAGCAACAGGCAGCAGGAAGCTTCATGGCTACTCTACAGTCTTTAACGTTAAAAATTTTCAACTCAAGGGGAAAGAAATGTCACATCATTAAGACGATGATATAAGAAAGAGACCGATAAAGAAGCCAAGGAAATGCTTAGGGGATATTACTTATAATGTTTTGTTAAGTATTATAGCAATTATCAGATAAAAAAATGAAAGTGAAGGGGAAAAAATCTGCCAGCGATTCGGATACTCCCTGATGAGAAATTTGAGCCCAGCTACAATGTGGATAGTTGTGGCACTTGGTATATTATTGAAGAGTAAATGACAGCATTAGAACGATGAACACTGAAAGAGAAGACGATGGGACAAAGTTGATCCTGTCACTTTCTTTTTCTTCAATATTGAGCGCAACTGTATGCGATAAGCTTCGGCTATAAAACCACGAATGCCTCTGCTTCAGCGGTACTAACTTAATGAGGCTTATCGATGCTTGTCACAAAAATGGGCTCTTATGAGCTGCACTTTAAAACATCCCCCCGCCACTGGGAGACAAACCCACACACTTTGCATTACGTGTGGTGTACTGCCACCGCACCGCCGTGGCAGCACCTTCCCCTGCGCCGCAATTTTTCAAGTATTCATGTACGTGTAAGCCTGGCAGTATTAGCGAACCCTACATGTGGCCATGGTGTCAAATGAGCGACATCCTTTTGCCTTATACCATCACAAAATATATGAAACTTAACAGCAGGCAAATAACCAATAAGCCTTTGTATACTACCTAGGGGCATCAAACCTACCAGAATCAACAGCCTTGATAAGAACTCAATGAGGAGAATAACTGGTGGATGTACAAAATATATTATGGCTACAAAGCTCATTTAGAGTGCACAGAGTTATATTACATACAAGATATAAGTAATTAAGCAGATTGGAACTAACAACATCAAAAATAATCTTGTTCATTTCAATGACAAAGCTTCATTTCTTGTTCAACAGAAATTTACACAGCACACTGATTGATTATCTTCCTATTTATTTCAAGTTTAAAAACGTCCTTTCATGCTTAACTGGACAAAAAAATATAGCAAAAGTAACAAGGACTCTTTTTACTGAGCACAACACAGTAAAACGATGAAGTAAACTTACTTTGTACACGAGATGATATCTTGAGGATGTATGTGCGATGGATATATTCGTTCGTCTAGCTTCTTGCAGTCACAATTGCAATATGCCGTGGAAACGTGTACTACAGCCTGGAAACAAAAAAGGACGCTTATTCGCATCTTGAATGCCGCAGGGAATATGCACGTCTAGATTGAGCTCTCTATCCCGAATGACTAACTTCGTCATCAGAAACTGTAGCCAAGTACAAAAAGAAAGTCCACCAGCCATTGAAGTTAGTAAAGCAGAAAATAGGCAAGTACATCAGCCATTAATGTTAGCTCAGCTGAAAATATGAATAAGTGAAATGACATTGGCCCCACGCATTGGAACCGCACTGCATTAATTTTAGTATATAAAACGTATGCTGAAAAAAAAAAACACCCATTATCTCGTTTGTTGATGTAATAGTTGGCATTTAGATAGGCAATTCGAAATGAAACTAGGCACAATTTACTTTTCTCTCACTAAGATTAAGAAATAAAAGGAGAATGGAGGCTTGACCAACACTATTCCACTATGTCATAAACCAAGTAGACTTGCCTGAAGCTTCTTCATTTCATGACAAAGCTTGAGCACTTTCCTAGTTCCTTCCATATTCATTTCTACAGCTTGCCTGTAAAGTGCATAAAAATCGTAAGCAATGGGACCAGGTAGAACGGACACGGCAGACAAACACATTGTATCCTATTTTATGCATGTTGTTCTGGAGAGACTTAATTATTTCAAATGATAAACTTGCACGACAGTTACAAATCACTGGTCATAAGCGAACGCAGACTCGTGACTGGTCGAGTGCTGCCGAGGGTCCCACCTAAGTGTTTCGTTGAACTTGATGGTTGCTGCTGAATGGAAGACCACTGACACCTCCCGCGTGAGAAGCTCATAGTCGGCAGGCTGCAGACCTAGCCCAGGCTCTGTGAGGTCTCCATCGACAGCCACCAGTTTTTCCAGTGCCTCAGCATGCTCCCGGTGAACATGCTCAAAACACTAGACACAAAGAATGAAAAATATCACTCCATCGTAGGCGTGCACGTGATAAGCATCAAAGCAGAGACGTAATGGTTCAAGGGACACTAAAGCGAAACAATGGCCTGGCTTATATTGACAAACTGCACACTGAGAAGTATAATGCCATTTGTCTCACTATTATAAGTCATTATTAGCGGTGAAGATCTAAGTTGCAGTTTAATTTTAAATTTCATGCCGAAATCTCAGTGAGTGATGGAAGAAATGTTATAATGTACTTTTCGAATTTCGAAAGATTGGCTCGATGAAGTTTTCTTAAACTTCGTATGCTAAGTCTGTGGCACCCACAGATGACAATGTACTTCCGTTTTAATTCATTATAAGCTACATAAGATCCCATGGATGCTTTCAAAATCTATGACGTCATGGCACTTAGTGCGAGAATCACAAGGTGGAGTCTCCACCCGCATTTTCGTTTTCGCGCGTTTTGTCACTTACCAAGTGTCATGTTGCAGTAAGAGGGGTGTTTTTGGATCATGAAATTGTACGTTCACTATGGTCAAACCTCGTTAGTGCGTCCCTGCTTTAACCGTACTAACGGTTAAAATGTAGCTGCGACTGAATCCCCAACAAAGTCTTATAAAAACTCATACATTCACAGACCCCTTAAGCTGTAGTGTTCGGCTTATGCCTACTGGTTAGCGCGTACTAACTACGAACCGCGATAACATTTTGCGCCACAGAATTTTACTACGCCGCTGAACTTGCAGACACCACAATGTGCCATGAACGATTTTCAGTCATGTTGATAAGTGCGCTGATAAGTATTTCAACTCCCGTGCAATTGCAGCAATGGCATTGCGAGTAATCGTAGGGGAAAAAACGAAGGCGAGGTGGCGACCACGAACAAACGCGCCAGTATGACTTGTCACCGGCAAAAAGCCTTATCACAGTAAGCATCCCGGGTTATCTGCTCGGTCTAGTGTGTGGCGTAGTGTCACCTTTAGGCCTACTGCACCTTTTTAGTAGGCGACTATCCTGAATGTGCTGGGCTGCCAATCCCTGCCGCTTCGTTTTGAGCGACCGTCTTCAAGCACGCATCTCGTTACAGATACGCAATTAAGCAGCTAGCTTATCCCTGGATCCTGCTGTAGTTTCGAAATGCCCATCGGCGTCGCCACCGCATGCTATCAGGCGGTACTGCGAGAGTCAGAAACTTTCCTGTACTTTCACAAAAAGAAAGAAATGGCTTTGTCGTGGGCACTTTAGGCGATATTTGCCGTAGGCAATGAGTTTCTTCCTTTGTTGGCGGCTATGGGACATGTCAGGGGATGCAAATTTGTAGCTGGTGGTTAATGCGTGGTACACTTAGTGCGTAGTTATGCTTCCGTCCCTGGTAGGTACGTATTAACAGGGTTCGACTGTAATACGCGAACAATCGTTTTGCTCTTTAGTATCCTTTTAATGATTTGTACTGTATACTTGCTTTGTTGACAAAGGTGGGTCATAACAACATGTCAAAAGTAGTGAGTGAATGGATGTATTAGTACCTCTGATTTGAGCAGTGAAGACAGTCGTTCTTTTGACTTGCATCCTTTTCTTGGCCGTATCAATAGAAAGATTTGGTTAATCCCTGGGCAGGAACGCAGCAGCTTCTCAAGGAGGATCTGAAAATGTAAAGGACATAAAGTTCTAAGCTTTAAATGTGCACTAGAGTATCTAAGTGCAGGCAAAACCCAAAATTAATATAACAGAGGCAACATCTTGCAAGGCAAGCCAATTTTATTTTATTTATATTGTCACAGAAAATCAAAACAACACAGTTGTTCGGAGGGTGATGAAGGCCTAAAGTGATGAACAGTTGTTAATAAAGAAATATTCTTGGTACCAATGTCTTAACAAGGGGACTCCTTTTGGTTAGGAGAGAAGACAAGTTATCAATACTACGGTTTTAGCAACATTCCCAGTTTAACAGCTTCTCACCGTAGTCACAAGATAATGTTTGTCGCTTTTCTCTAATGTGAAGAAATCAATATTTCATATGCAAGATAATCATGATGCTGAGCCTGACAAAAATTAAACTGAACATCATAACATGTAAAAATTAAGTATAAAGTGAAGAGCTATGGCCTGAAATGTGCTCGTGCCAAGATGCTAGAAGACTTTACATGTCCGACAATCTGTGTCCTTGTCTCTGTTCGATTTGGCATCTTGAAAGGTGCCAGAGATAAGCTGAAGGGCTTGCTGTACAGCCGATAAGAATCGTTGCCTCTGAGTGCTCCTGCAGTCTTGCGGCCTCCAGGAATGTCTTGTGTGTTTCAGGCCAAAAAACACAATCTATAAGAAACAAACTAACTACATAATCAGTGGTATCCTTACTTAATTTAAACAAACAAAAATTTAGTATTTGGTCTCTTTCCCTTTTTCTGCCAAGAAAAGCAAATCATGCATCACAAGCGAGACCTTGAAAGATAAATAAACACACAAAATTCTTCAATGAATTTTGCAGCATTACAAAAACAGTATGTGCAGTTGCACTCACTACGAGTTATAACACTGCTCACTGTCAAAGTGGTGCCAACACAACAAGGCAGCTCCATTGTAACAAAAATTGGCGAATGGCTAAAGCAGCGCAAACACTTCCTCGGTGTCACCATGAAGGCTCAGGGCCCTGTAATGAGTGAAGTGCGCGTTTTCAAAACGTGCACGACTGTGATAATGGAGCACATTGGAAGACGAAGACAATGGCAGGAACTACAAATGCCAGCTCTGTTGGTGAAAATCACCGAAGACGACGATGGGAAGGTTCGGCACGTGGACACATGAAACACCCACTCAGCCAATGAACAACGCCCATGGGGATACCGAACCGAAAGGCCCAGTCGCAGAACGGGCGAGCGGGAGACGTGGCAGAGCGAAGGTGTCCAGGGTGTGGGAGTCGCAGCCAGCGGCGAACCCTTGGCTGTATCAGGAGTACCGGTGCCACGGCCACTGTGGGCTCACACCTGGGGGCATATCCAACCTTCTTACGAGCCTCTGGCACTGGCTGGACCCACATTCCTTATCGCTTGGTGTTGGCCAGGCAAGACCAGTATCTCTTCCTTCAACTGCAGTCTTCGGCTGGCGAATGCCGACAGGAAGTCTGGCCGTTGACCTTGACTTGCCAGGCGCGCCCATTGGCACCCTTGACAACGGTTAAGCGTCTCCACCGCTTATCTGCTTCCGACGCCAGCGTGTGTTGCTCGCAGACGAAAATCGTGTCCTTCATCAGGAACGATGATGCTTTGTTCAACTGTCGTGCGTTTGCCCCAAGTAACTAAATAGCTAGGAGTTGTTCGTGTAATTTCGTTGCATGTGCTCAGGATTTCTTTATTGTATTTGCTACGTCTTTATCTTACAAATATAGTTTTGTATGTGTGTACCAATGGTTTCGTTTGCTTTCGATGACATTTAGTCATCGCTTTAATTATGAACCTACATGAGAATGTGTTAGATTAAATAGTCTCATCACATGCCCCTTCTAGCCCACACATCGTGTTGAAATATTATTTTAGTGTATTTATATGCTTGCAATTTCAAACAACTTAGGGGTTGAAGTTAGGCTGAGATCATCAAGCATATACTGGTAAAAAGGACGAGCAATTGGAACAGCTCATTTGGCACTTTGATCTTTTTCATACAGGCCTGAAAAAGACGTGAACTTCTGCCCCGCTCCACACTTTCTTGTGACAGCATCCTAATAAAGAAGGGTGTAAGGCAGGGAGACACAATATCTCCAATACTATTTACCACATGTTTACACGAGCTTTTCAGGGCCCTAGATTGGGAAGAGTTAGGTATAAAAGTTTATAGAGAGTATCTAAGTAACCTGCAATTCACTGATGACATTGCCTTAATAAGCAACTCAGGGGACAAACTACAGCTTATGATTACTGAGCTGGAAACTGAAAGCAGAAGAGTAGGTCTGAAAGCTAATATGCACAAAACTGAAGTAATGTGTAACAGTCTCCACAGAGAACATCACTTTGCAATAGGTGGTGAGGCACTGAAAATTCTAAAGCAATATGGAGAGGTAGTAACTACAGAACCATACTATCAGAGCGAAATAACTAGAAGAATAAGGATAGGGTGGAGTGTATTCGGCAAGCATTCTCAAATAATGTCTGGTAGTCTACCACTATTCCTCAAGAGAAAGGTATATAACATTTGCATCTTATCAGTAGTTTTCTAAGAAGCAGGAACCTGGAGGCTTACAAAGAGGGTGCATCTTAAATTGAGGACAATGCAGCAAGCAATGGAAAGGAAAATGACAGGTGTAACCTTAGCAGACAGGAAAAGGGCAGAGTGAGTCAGGGAACAAACAGGTGTTAAAATATATTATAGCTGAAATCAAGAAGAACAAATAGAGATGGGTCAGGCATGTAGCACATAGGCAGAATAACCACTGGTCATTAAGGGTAACTGACTGGATTCCAAGAGAAGGCAAACACGTGAGAGGGAGACAGATAATTGCGGGCAGATAATAATAAAAAGTTTACAGCTATAGCGTGGCGGCAGAAAGCACAGGACCGGGGTGATTGGCGGAACACGGGAGAGGCCTTTGCCCTCCAGTCGGCGTAGTCAGGCTGATGATGATGCACTCATTTTGGGCTCGTTAAAAATGTCATATCGTTCAAAAAATCTGTTGAATAGTGTTACTTGAAGCATAGCCTTTCCAACTCCTCGCCACTTTTCTGTTTCAAAATGCCATCCCCGTGGTACGGCTGAGTGCTTCAAGTTCTGCAGTGAAAGTGTGGCAACGGTAATAGTTCAGCTTCTATGAGCTGGCCTAAAACTACCAACAGTGAGACTTAGATGAAATACCTTAATTGAAATGTGCACAGGCAAGCCTAACATTGTTACAGGTTAAAAAATATTTTTTCTTACTAAACTTGACCTTTCTTGAAGAAAGTTTTCTTGTTGCTTTGCTCTATTTAAGCATAAGCATTTCCAGCCCAAGCAAGTAAGATAATTTGTTATTGCAGGTGTTTTATATTTTATCACAATCTTTAATAGGCTAAACTGGGCAGGAGACTAACTGCTTCAAATAATAGGATTCAATTAATCTACAGTTCTTAATTATGTGCAATATAAGGATGCAAATAACTAAAAAAAATAACTAGACCTTACCAGGCAATAAAGGTTACGTAAACACAATGGCACATTTGTTTTCAATCTCACTTTTGCAGGAATGTGCAAATCTCGTGTGCCATTAATCATGAAGCAAATGCAAGAAAAAAGTAAAAATAAAAGCACCAAGCAGGAGACATTTGGACGTTTAAAGCAATATCAACATTCTGATACAAAAGCCTCCTGTATACTTTCTGGATGGAGCAACCTGAAGAAGAAAAAAAACGAAAAAAAAAAATAGAAGAGAGAGAGAAAAAAAAAGTTAAACAGGTGAAACAGCTGCGTTTCTATATGCCAAATGAGTGTCAAACTGTACGAAAACATGGGTTGGCGCTGCGACACTACATCAAATTTAAAAAACAAACCATCTGTTCTGGGAATCAACAAAAGGTGTGACGACAACTTCGCTTGACAGCTGTGCTTTCATATGGGTTGACATGAAAGCAACAAGACGCTGCATGAACTTGAGCTCGCTTTTAGAACCTGCCTTGTGCACCATGAAAAATGGGACAACTGAGACCACTAGACTGCCTGCCAAAGAGTTCCATGTAGCCGCAACAGTATTCATTTCTGCAGCTGCTCACTACATCGAACAATATAAAGCAGAAGAATGAGTGGAGAGCTATGAATCGATTTCTAATAAAAAACATGAAAGAAAGGGGGCATTGAGAATGCTCTCATGAAATGAAGCTTGGATTCGTTAGATCAAGATGAGAGCTAAGGAGATGCAGCCTACATGGCAAACTCTGTAATCACATTGTTATTTGGTGTAACCATTCGCGAAACACGGGAACGAAATGCGAGAAACGAATGGGTGGGACTGCTACAGTTAAGTAACATATGCGATAAAATTTATTTTCATAATCAAATCAGTTTGTTTTGCAATGTTATGTACTTGTCTACACCAGTTGCAAAAGAAATAAGAAGAAGACATATGCTTCATCCGGTGACCGCAGTTTATTATTTCCATGTGATGAATAATGTCCGCTCCAACCAGATTTATGGGTAACACTGTTCAGATACTACACATATATGGCCTCTGTTCAGGAATGCCAAATCATTATTCAAGCTAAGACAAAACACCTGGGTATTCAGATCATAGCAACTCTTTGTTTTGAATGCCTTATGAAGATGTGAAACATTTGAACATGTTATTTACAATGCGTAAATGTTATTAGCAGAGTATTGGTAAAGGTTTCACAAAAGAGATGAGGACGGCGAAGTATTGGACAAAGAATGAACTGTCTGTCTTACTGACAGCTTGTATGTGAACATAACGTTTTCTAGAACTAGTGCACAACTCTGAAAGAGATAAGGAACTATGAACAAATTAAGAAGACAGTGTACTGGCGTGGTGTCATGCTTTTCCCTTGTCTCTTTGTTACTGTCTTAGTATTTAGTCTATTGCCGAGTCGCAAAAAAAACCTCAGAAAATGTTATGCAACACTGACTTGCCTGAACTATGACCATTTTGCATACCTCCACTTCAACTAGACATTCTGGTTTCTGTAATATCTTAAGATCATGTCTTATGCAAACAATAGCTGTGATTAGAGTGCTATGGAACAATTAAGACCTCATTATATTTGCCTAATTATAACTAATGCAATTAATTCACTTTGGTTGCCAGTACAGCTTATACAACAAAGCACAAACATTTTACCGAATAAAGCTACCTTTTAAGGAAGTATTTATCTCACTCTAGAAAAAAAATTGTAAGCACTGACCTAAATATTTACCACTGCATTTGGCACAGCTTTGTTATGCTTCCACTTAATGTTAATTGATAAAATATAAAGCAAAAAACTGCCAGTTCTCTTAATCAAAATAAATCGACATGAGATTTCAGTAGCAGTAAAAAAAAAAAAAGGTTCGTTGGGTTGTGGGATTTACCATACAAAAACAATTTTGGGTATGAGATGCTGAAGTGGAGGGTCCTGAATAATTTCGATCATTCGGGGTTCTTTAGTGTGCACTGAAGTCACATAGTACTAGATTCTTTAGTACTTCCATCTCCATTGAAATGCAAACGCAGCAGCTTGAATAGAACTGTTGTCTTTCTGGGTCAGTAGCGGAACACAATTCAGCAAACAAATAAGGAATCTACACAAGTTTACTGTGGTGTTACTAGCTTTTTTACTGCAATTCATCAAGAAATGTCAGAATCGGTCAACCAGTTCAGTTATCATACACTCTTACTTGCTGTGGGTATTGACCAAAGTCGACATGCAGCAACGATGCCACATGTCCCACCTACACTAAAAATACACAGCCATAATCTGCGCATGGAGAATTCTAGAGCACTATTACAATTTCCCAGGTAGACCACACCACAATAAGAACACACAAAAGAGGAGGTATTCAAAGTCAAATGCATACCTTACCAAGGAAGCCTGTCACCCCCGTGATGAGCACACTTTTTCCCTTGTAGAACTCTTGGACAGCCAATTCGCCGGTGTCATTCATAGCTGGTGTTGCTATTGGAAGCAGAGGTGGCATTACCACAAAAGAAATCAAAATGCACATGTATAAATAAATGTGCCACCTGGGCCTCAGGACACACTGAAGTACAATACATACATCTCACCATAACGTATTGTAATTTGGCTCAAAACACGCTTAGACTGGAACCATATGCTGAAATACATAGTTAAATCACAATATAAGAAATTGTGCTTCCCGCAGAAAACTTCAATAAATAGAAAATATTGTCAAGTAAAGGTTTCTATATTTCCACAATAAAAGTGACTTTACAGGTTTCTACAATAGTCATGCACATGATTAGCAGGCATACCGAAACCCAGCTGCTGAAGAGAGTTCAGTAGCACGACTGCTCACCACGAGAATTAAGATAGAACTCAAAGCGTGGGATAAACTCTGGCTTTCTCAAAAGTCTGTGCAATAAGATACAGTGGTGAAACTGAAAAGCATTTCCAAAACCCGGCAAACCAGGCAACTTGTCTGACATTGCACAGCGTATGGTGATAGTATGCTGCGATTCCGCCACCAAGTGAAAGCCCTTCTTAATAGAAAAAAATGGTTTTAGCTGCGGCATTGTGTTGACTGTATTGAGCAATTTGTACACAGTGTATTGCCTGCAATGTTCATCCTTTGCTGGGAAAGCTTGCTATAACATATGTATCAGCACACTTGCAGTGGGGGTGTCTTCTGAGTAGTGAGGTTTCCCGTGCCAACGTAACGACTATGCATACGTGCATACTTTGTTGGACCAACAAGGTGACACTGTGGTCGTTTCTGCAGGCAAAGCGAAGTTGAAGCTGTCTCACAAAAGGAGGCAGCATTGAATGCCAGTGCGACTGCCACCGTTAATGACGGTATGGAGGTTTCAACGGTAACCTATTAAAAGCATGCAGTACACATTATAATGGTGCTATACTGCAATAGATGCTGTATACACTGTTGAGCAGATGAAGATGCTTATAGTGAATAAAAAAACTGTCAACGATTAGTTATACTCTGTTGTTTTTTTTGTTTTCTTTGGCGGACATCTAAAAATTTGCCCATTTGCAACGCAGGCACAGTATCGCATTAGCCCCACTGCAAAGTCAGGAGCGCACTCAATTTTAAAAAAGTAAAACATGAAAGCACAGAGGTGCAATCTATTTTGTTAATTTTATGATACTTTTTGCATTGATTTCCAATGCTTACACACACAGGCATCAAACCTATGTAGTAACTATTATATGGCCAGCCTCTGCAATAAAAACCGAGAATAATCTTTTGCTTTTCTGGGGTACACCGTAGTGCTGATTACACACTGAGTTGAGAGGTGCAGTCAACTAGGCACCACAAAGTGATAGCATGGCACACTTCTGTTGCCTGCTGGCAGAAGGTCACCCACAAAACATGTTCTTTTTCATCTTATGTTTACAAAACTTTTGCATAAAGAATGCTTACATGGGTCATGGAGTGTGTCTGTGTGTATGCAACTTGCAAGAATTTCATTAGATCAAAACTGAAGCACAGGGTTCTTTTGCCCAATAAAAAGAAAAAAAAATAGGCTTCTAATTGGGCTAAAATTGAGTAATGAAAAGGGGATCATTACATCGCTGATTTCGTTAAGTCAAGGTTTCCTTATAAGCAAGTACATAAATGCAACATTTCACAGAACTTCACTTTTCATTTACTATTATAAAAACTAAATAGCTCTAAATAAAAAGCAGAAATTGCGTGCTTTGTGTTATCGCAATGTGTTAACCACATCCCATGTAAATTTATTTTTGTATTTAAAGCGGAACTAACTTATCCACAAAAAATTCGCTAGCTGCACACGGACATCGCAGTCAACCACTCTTCTACAACTACACTCTTCGCGGAGCTTGCATTACGAATTATGCCTAAATATTAAAAGCATATTGTGTACATTCAAGCTTGCCGGTTCTGCCGGCATGTATAAAGAAACATGCAACCAATAAATGACACGGAGCGTCCGATGTTTCCGCATGGCGCTTCATAGCAGAAATGTGGTGCCATATGTAGTTGACATTGTCAGAGCGAATGCTTAAGGATGCCACAAGATTTCGGGTCCACGCGAAAGAAAATAGTGAAAATCCATCAGCTACTGAGTAAAAAGACAAGAGGTCGTTACCGATGTTTCATGCCCACAGCGCACAATTGGCACAACTGGCTCACCTACCGCTTACAAATGCTTCGTCCACACAGAGCCAACTTCAGTTAAGCTGTTCATCGTGCGTGCAAAGAGTGCAATGAGGTGCGAAAGCAGCGATCACGGAACGGCTGCAGGGAACGCCCAGCTCAAAAGTACCCTTGCGCAATGACACATCCTCCGCTCCTTTAGGAACACGACGCTTGCCTCGCAAGCTGCCGAATCTCGGTGGATAGTGAAAGATAAGCGTTAGAACGGCGCCTTCGGCACCAGTGCCCACTTTCATGGAGATAGCCGTCTATCTAAAAAGAAAAGTGGCCGGCCCTACCTGCTTCCCGGTTTGACATGGTAGCTCAAGTCGTCGGCCGAGTAGTAATCGTTCGCACCGGCAGGCCTGTTGCAGGTCGCTGCGCTGCTACTCCGCAACACTTCTCGGGTTGACGGGTGGTATCGGCGGTGAGAAAGAATAAGAAAAACAAAATCTCCGAACACTACTTGCACACATCGGGGCTACCGGACGTCCATCGCGGTAAGGAGTACGGGGATCCTACGCACGGCTCATGGCACGGCTTCTAAGACCGCCACACCGACCACCGCTTGGCGGCTGCTCGCGCGCGCACACCCTCTCCCACTCTCTCACTTGCACCGCCTCATGAAACCACGCACAACCACCGATGTAACTATGCAAAACTTAAAAAAAGAACACACGCAGGAAGCCGTTCCCAGCCAACACCACTTCCTCGCGTGACGGCTTTGGGCCAATGGCGATCCCCATGCGAGCATAAAATCGCTAAGCAACAAGTAATAGCTTTCAAGTGCCACGCACTCAAGTTAAACAAAAAATGTGCGAAAGCGGTGGCCCAAAAAACAACCAGCTTATGTACACATACGTGTGCACACGCGTACGCTTTATTATGTAACAAATGCGAGATCCGCTCTCATTCTCGCTCGATTCCCAAACACAAGAACAAACGCAGGGACCTTGACAGACATTTCAATGTGTAGACGGGCAGGCAACAAAAATAAGGAAACAATGTTTGTAGCATTATTTCACAATGGTTAGCACCGCGCTATAACGCGAAAAACTTATTCCACACACACAAAGAAGCGTTCACTAACATTGCTAACATCTCCATCAGACGTTTATTAAACGTACTTGTCAAATAAAGGTTACTTATCACCATTGCCTCTGGCGTGGCATGGCTAACTATTAGCGCAACTACAGAGCAGTAACCTTGTCTATCTAACAAACTGCTGCGAAAGCAATAAGTTTTATCAAAGGGTCTTGATGATTTTAACATTATGATGTATTCGCCCAGCTTTGTGTATTTGTTCAATGAGTTAAGCCGAAAGACGCGCAAGTCAGACTGCACCCGGCAACATTGTGCCATTGTTGATTTTTGTTGCATTTTTTTGGAGTAAGTTGCTGCGCGATGATTCCAGACTCACCTGCGTAAAAAGTGCTGTGTGTGGTTGTGCGTTATAGTGAATGACTGGCCGTGGTATGCTCTGATTCCGTCCGAGTGCGAGAACTGCATGCCGGTGGCGGAAAATGCCCCTGAGTTGCGCATCGCACGTGCACGATGCGCACAACAGAGGCCGCAGTTCCATCTTCGAAGCGGACGCCGGTCACCGTAGCCGCAGTAGAAGCATCAGGAGAAGCCTCCTCCGCGGTCACATCGCTCGCACGAGCAGCAATATGCCTGCTTAAAGCTCACAAGCGGGCGCGTTCAATTGCGAGACACATTTTCCCTCGCATCCACACCCCACTGCAGTGATGGCCTGTGTCAGCGGCGTCCCGTGCTCAAAGTACCAGTCGCGCTCTCTGAAGCGTGCTCTCTCCAGCGCCTGTTCGTTTGACGCAAGCGAAGATGCGCTGCAAAGGGAGTTTCATGAGATGTTCCGACTTCCTTTGGAGCGGTAAGTGATCGTTTCAAGCCCACCAAGAAGTCAGGCAAGCCTCGCCCCTTTACCTGTTGCTTAATTGTGATCGGGATGCTTAAGAGCACTGCGTATGTGCGTGTTGAAGCTGTGAGGGAGTGACTGTTGAATAGCTGTCAAACATTCGCTCGACGTGCGCCTGAGTTGCGAGCTGAAGTAGCGAAAATTCGACCGTGCGATCGCTTGTCCCACAGTCACCACTGATTTTCGATCGCAAACACGATGCGCTTCGTGTGGCGTGACTGCACGTAGACCCTGCGTAATTGCGCTCTTAATGCAACGAGTATGATAAAAAAATTAACTAACGTATTCGTTTCTCGTGAAGGCTTTCAATTTGTTCTTTTAGTTAATCAAAATATGGATTTGTAATTTCTTAAGTTTGATTAATGGCCCCGCCGCGGTGGTCTAGTGGCTAAGGTACTCGGCTGCTGACCCGTAGGTCGCGGGTTCGTATCCCGGCTGCGGCGGCTGCATTTCCGATGGAGGCGGAAATGTTGTAGGCCCGTGTGCTCAGATTTGGGTGCACGTTAAAGAACCCCAGGTGGTCAAAATTTCCGGAGCCCTCCACTACGGCGTCTCTCATAATCATATGGTGGTTTTGGGACGTTAAACACCACAAATCAATCAATCAGTTTGATTAATGCATAAAGCTATAACTGGGCTAATCTGAATTTGAAAATTGCTGCACAGTTGCTGCATGTCATGTACGTGTTTCACGATTATTGGTGCAGGAGAAAACACAGCAAGAAATCCAAGAAGAAAACGCCGAAGGAAAGACGAAAGCTAAAGGTGCGTGATTGAAACTCTCTTGCTGCTTGGGCTTTGGTACTCGACGGACGACGTTCATTCTGAAAGGCAGCACTTTAACAACTAAACATGCAACTTGTGATGATTAGTCTATCAAGGCACAATCGATCATGATCGAACTCAATCGTAATCGATTCCCTCGATCGTAATTGACACTTTATCACTATACTCCCCCGAAGTAACCAGTCGCGATTGGTCTCGAACGTGATTGAAACCTCCACAGCAAGTTTGCATGCAGTAGTGTTGATTCTTGGGTAATTCAGACAGTGCTTGTGTTTTTGTAAAGCTCATTTGGCTTCTCTTACTGCAAAACATTCTCTTTAACAGCGACAGCTATTATGACATCACAACAAGGGCCGTTTCTGGCGCCGTAGTTGTCCGCCGTCGCTGCCGCCAGTGTCCGTAACCGCAATTGCTCGAAATAAGAAGAAAAAAAACGAAGTGAGAAAACAAATATCTAGGATGAAATAGGGCTCAAATCTGGGCCCTCTCAGTGGCAGCCTAGTATTTTACTACAGAGCCATGCCTGTGCCCGATTCTCTGTTTCAAAAAGACCCTATGCATGCGTTTTGTCAGGAAAAAAAAAAAAAACCATGTTAACATGTGTAATGTAGTAAGGTTTCTACCTTACTATATTACGCATGGGAACATAGTTCCTGGAGTAAAATAACAATCAGGGTAACACAATGCTAATGAGGTGTCACAAAATACGAATAGCACAATGAGTGGGTTGCTGAATGCTTCCAACCCATTACAAAGGGCTCAGCCAAAATTCTTCATCCTCAACAGCTACTGCATCAACAAAGTGCATGTAATGCCTTGCAAATGTGTAGCAGGTACCTTGCTTCTCTGCAGAATAGTGAATAATGGTATAGTGGGTGCTTCTCAACTTGACAAAACTTATGGTTTATGGTGTAATGGGTACCTTGCAAGCGTGCTTGTATTAAAGTAGCCCTAACCAAGTTGCAACTGGTTCTAGAAATGCTACTTTACTCGTGACTGTGCTGCGCTTTCAGCTAAGGCCTGGTTTTTTTATTATTATTATTATTTCATCTTGTTTGTTTAGGCATTACACCAGACATCTGTTTACACTTGCATCACATTAGTTTATAAGATTAACATTTCCATTAAAGGTTCGCTACTGATGTTAGTAGGTTCACATCTGTGTAGTGAACACGAGTGAACACACATTTGCCACACTAAACATGTATGTCACTTGTTTGAACATGTTTGAACATGTGTACCACGAGCTGTTTAGAACTTCATGTAACTAATTTGCAAAGTGTATTGGCAGGGCCGTAATGATTAGTATTCACTAGAAAAAACTTAACAAAAACATGCCATTTTCAGTTTTTGGGTTGTCAACAATGGCAAAAAGTGCATCAGTAATTATGCAGCATTTTCTCGCTTTTAGCCTAAATTACACTAGTGGTATTTGATATAAACCATAGCTCTGCAGCGACTTACTTATCACTTGTATTTTCTGCATGCCTGTGCACCATGACAATGTTTTCTTTGCAGGGAGTGAGGAAATGGCCTTGCAAGCTTGAATAACATGTAATAAATAGACCTAGCTGGCGTTCATGTGCTTGTGTAGTCGGCATGAGTTGACAATGACATCGTGGTAAGACTACGATATTGGGAACAAGAAGTGAAGTGCTTTTAACGCAAAGCTTCAGTACCGTTAGACTTTCATAACTGTGCAGTGTTAGAACTTAGGCACATTATTTAGAGTGCCTACCAAATGCCCACCGTCCCATTTTCATTATATGTACATTTTTTTGTCGTCATCCAGGTTTCCCATGACATGTCTAAGATAAAAATACTTAAGCGAGGTCTGTTTGCTGATCGCCAGCTATTGTTTTGTGCCAGAATATTTCTTGTTATCTCTGTGCGTATTGATTCTCAAACCAGCCTTAACTTGTTTTTCTTATCATTTCTGTGTCCTTACCTAATTAGGCCAGTATTCGATAACCAACCTTCTTGTTATCTTTTGCCCTGATAATCATTTTATGTTCTTTTATATGCACTAATGACAAAAATTGTGATAAATTATAGATTTACTAGTTTGAGCCCTTGATAATTTATTGCATGCCAGCCTTAGCTTTCAAAGCCTTCTGTAAATGCAATGCATAGCATACGGGCTGCATGTTTATGATAATGCTCACTGTCTTTGCTGTACTTGAAGGAGTACTGATGAAAACATATCACATCTAGTTTTTTTTCCTTTGCAATGAGTAGCTAATGACCCACTCACTATGACTGTAGACTTTGTTTGCTCAAACATGTAGTAGGCAAATATTTAGAGATGTTCTTATAGTGCCCAGTCATGGTCCTAGTTTCAGACAGACAAGGCTGTGAGGTTCGTTTGTAAACGCAGCTGGCCATGGAAGTGTGCAAAACTGATGCTTTTATCACGGGACCGATACGCTGCATTGTGTACACGTGAGCACCACGTTAACAACTGAAAGGAAGGGCACACACAAGGGGCATGGCAGCCAGCACAGACTTGTAGGCAATCGTTTGTTGTTTGCATCCAAACCTAACTGATGTTGATGTCATGCAGTGCTCTGCTTCACATGAAGTTATACGGCACATACTTTGAAACTCATTTTGATTGCGTTCCAGGCCACCGATAGTTCATAGATGACGTGTGTCTGCATAAATCTGACAAGTTACCTTGCCTCCAGAAGTCTGTGTCAGTAGTCCTTTAGAAAGGTCGTTTTCCTTTCTTGGCACAGAACAAGGCCACAGACGTCCAGCCATGGAGGAGTCCAGTTTTGGAAATCCAGGGAAATCCCTCTCCCTTTGCAGTCTTCACCAACGTCCGACAGTGCATCCTCGTGAA